TAATTATGGAGAGTTGGAATTTCTCTTTCAATTTGTTCTGTTACTTTATGCCCATCAACAAGTCTTTGTAGCTTTATTCTGTTGTTTTCTTTTTTCATCTAGATCTTACATCTTCAGTATTAAATTTATTCTTGAGTATTCTCCTTTTGTTACTATCATTAATGGAATCTGTGTAAGTTTCCAGTAGGGTTTCTAAAAGGTTACTTAGAGCAATATAAAAAATAATGATTTTTATATATTCATTTTTAAAGCAGCAACCTTAGGTAATTCTCTTATTTGTTCTTATCACTTGATAGTTCCTGTTAGAAAATATTTTCTGCAAACACTGATAATGTTCTCATTTTAAACACTTGATTTCTTTTTCTTGTGTTAGTGCATTGCATTGCCTCAAATTTCAGAGCAATGTTAAATGACAGAGGTAAGAGCTGCTGCCTTGACCTCCATCTGATTTTAACGGGCTACCCTTAAGTTTCACTGCTAAGTTCCATATTGGCTATTAGTTTGAGGTAGATGTTCTTTATCATGTGAAGGAAATTTTACTATAATTCTAGTTTCCAGTTTGTTTGTTGAAGAGGATAATGAATTTTATCAATGACTTTTGGCATCCATTAAGATGAGACAGTCTCTCTTTAACTATTAATTACATTCCAAAAGTCAACTTTATTTGGTCATGGTTTACAGCTGTGTTTAAAATTTAGGAACGTCTGATTATCCATTGAAAAGATTAGGATATAATTTATATTACTTTTTTGATGTTCTGTTATTCTAGATTTTGATATGAATCAAGAGATTGTTTTTTCTGTTATTCAACAGTTAGATGAGCATCATTTTGTGGTTCTTTTTGTTTTTTTTACAGCCACTCCAGGAATATCATGTGCATTGGCCCTGCTAGTTCTGCTAATGCTCTTCCCTCCACTACCATTGCCTCATGGTAAACTCCCACTTGCTTCTTAACACCCAGTTGGCCCATCAACCCTCCTATATAGCATTCTCCCACCACTCCCACGGTATTAGCACGTCCTTTATTCCAGCATTAATTCTACTATAGTTTACTCCTCTATTAATCTGTTTCCCCCTCTAGAATCTGAGCTTATTGAAGCAGGGACAGTCATGTATGCATTTTAAAAAATCCTTAATCTTCAGTGCTTATCAGAAGATCTAGCACATATCATGTTGTTAATAACTCTGTTAAATGAGTAAGTCCATAATGCATTTTTGCTTTAAACTTTGCCTGGGAGGAAAATTTGTATGCTGTTTGTGTATACTTTTTTGCCTTTCTTTGATAACAAAATAGAGAAAGTATCACTTACTGCCCTTCTTCACACCTGAGAGAGTTACTGAGCCAGGATAATAGTTGGGCAAGGATAAGGTGAAAGTGATAAAAAATCTGTAATAGTGATTAGACTTTCTTTGACATTAACAATAGGTAACGTGCATTGAGTGTTTACTACGTTTCAGGCGTGAAATTATCAAATTTATTTCTCATAATAGCCTGCAATTTTACATGTGATTAAATGAATTTTTAGAGGGCTTAAGTGACTTGTCTGAGGTGAAACAGCTGGCAAGTCAACGACTTTCTGAATTCAGAGTCCACTATCTGGAAACTACTCGATATGGACTCTCCAGTGGAGCTAGTGTGCTCCACTTAAATGAGAAAAGAAACAAGTGATATGCTGAGGGTGAAGATTTGGTTACGTACCTTGCTTCTTGGGTTTTGCTTAAGAAGTTTAGCACCCACCAGGAAGAAAGAAAATGACTATTTGCCTCCTTGACTTTTGCATCATTTGTCTTTCTTCTGATGAAAGTGGGGCTAATCAATGAATTAGGGTTCCTTCACTTTTAGCCTATGCTATGTTGCTTTATCTTCAAAGCATAAACATGGGCTGTGTGATGGCTCACCACCTTTCTTGTTCCTTCTGTGAAGGTCTGAAAGGGCACAAGACAGGTAAGAGGAAATTAGTAACTCCATTGCTAGATTTTTGAGCTCATGGCCCTGAGCTACACGTGAATGACTTTGACCTGTAATCTGAAATGAGAGTGACTTCAGGGTTCACCTCCCCCACAATTCCACCCCAAAGGTGAGGCACGGTGGAGTTGCTAAAAGCACAGTATGAAGAAGGACGTCTGGCATTTTACTGTTGACAGTGCGCCAGCTCTATGACTTCCTGCTGGTTCCCAACTCCAGGCTGTGACCCCCAGAGTGAGTGACAGAAGTGGTAAGAGGTTGTTCGGAAGATTAAAGACCCAAGTCACCAGAGGCTGCCATCTAGCAAGAATATTTAGATATTGTCCACGTGGCAGTCATTAATATTCTTCAGCAAAGAGTGAAAAGAAACCTTGTTCAAAAAAGGCTCCCTCTTCAGATCTCTGTACCTTGGAAGGTAAAGTGAATGCAAGGGTTTTGTTTTGAAATTAAATATTCATTGGATTGAGTTAGAGCTATTACTATTCTTGAGAATAAAACCGGATATTTCCTTTGTTTTAAAATAACTACAGTCAGTTTACATAAGAATCCGTTTCTGTACTGAATCAGTCAAGGTAAGGCATGGTGTGATTTTTTTTTAATATAATAGACACAACAGAGAAATGAATGCAGAAGGGCTCAAGTATTTTTAGAGGGTATATGAGCAATTTCACTTCGCAGAAGACCTGTCAGAAAGAAGCATCATGGACTAGAAGACAGAGGCCAGGGATCCAACCCCGGGAACTGTGACAGCCTCTGGGTGACATCTTTGGCTCTGTTAATTGATAGCTGTTGTGAAACATATCTGAGTTTCAGTTTCCTAACCTGTGAAATGGAGAGCATATTCTTTGCCTCTTGGGGTTCATGTAAAGATTTGGAAATGATAACTAGGAAATGAGCGGCAGGGACAAAGCAGGCGCACAGCGGTGGCAGGGATTATTCCCATTTTCACATACATACCGAGACTGGTCACTAATGGCTGGGAAAGCCATTTATATCTGTTTACACTCTCTCTCTCTCTTTTTAATTTTCCAGGTACCGTTGCTCACATTTCCCTTGAATTTAAACATCTTTTAAAAGCTTTCAAAGCTTTGAAGGTTGATTTCAGTGAAACCTGTTTTTATTCTAGGCGTTTTTCCGACTGTCATTCTGAGTAAAACAAAAAACATTTACTGTCAAAACAACAAGGGCTTACTCTCAAGCACAAAATGAAAGCAGATATGTCTGCCTGATTTATTTTGGCATCCACCTAGCAGTTAAATAGGACACCTTTTAATTTGTTACTTCTTTAAGATTCATTTAGGTTGGCAAAGTAAATCCCCAGGGCTTGGTTTCAGCTAAACTTCAATGAGTTCTATAAAAAGTTTATTTGTTATCACTCAGACACACAAGCTTTGAAAGGTACCAGTTAAAGATGGAACTATGTATTTAGCAGTGTAAGATAGTAATGTCTAATGGATTTTTATTTTTACTTTGAATGGAACTTAAAACTCTAACTTATTACCAAAGATCCACTAGCAATCTGAGAAGAGACATAGAAAGTCAATGTAGAAGTATTAGGTTAATAAACTTCTGTAGAACTATTTCAAACAGTGAATATCCAATTATTTTAAAATTAAACTCAATTATGAGTAAAGAGGCCAATATTCAAATATCAACTCTGCCATTTGCTGACTGGGGAAGTTACTTAATCTGTCTGAATTTCAATGTCTTTATCTATAAATTGGGATGATATTTAACCCTTCCAGGTTGTTTAGAAAATTGGCGGAGGCAATGGACACAGAGCAGCCAGCACCTGCATGGCACATACTAGTTGTTCAACACGTGCAAGTCACTGTTTTTATTAAGAAATACTTCCGGCCTGCTGTGTTGGCTCTGGCCTGTAATTCTAGCACTTTGGGAGGCAGAGACGTGTGGACCAGTTGACCTCGGGAATTCAAGACCAGTCTGGGCAATATGGTGAAACCCCATCTCTACAAAAAATACAAAAATTAGCTGGGTGTGCATGCTTGTAGTTCCAGCTACTTGGAGGGCTGAGGCGAGAGGATTGCTTGAGCCGAGGAGTCAGAGGTTGCAATGAACCAAGATCACGCCGCTGCACTCCAGCCTGGGCAACAGAGTGAGATCCTGTCTCAACCAAAATGAAACAAAACAAAACGAAAACAAAAACGTGTGCAACATTTTCTAACAATTCAGTCCAGGATGTTAGCATTTCTTACTGTATGGAAGTTGTTTCTTCAATCTGCTCCAAATTTACTTTGCTAGAATCTAAGCCCACTTTCTCAACGTTAGCAATAACATCTGTTTAATAGCTTCTTTAAAACAAGGCCAGATTGAGGGCTTGTGTTTATGCAATCATTAACAAAACGATTCTTAAACAGTGGTGATTTTTTGCATCTCAATGACCTAATTATAATCTGGCTATTTGATTTAGTTACAAAAGGAAATAAAAATCACACACACACACTCAAACATATGTATACAGCACCCACATATATTCATTTGTTTGTGTTCTTCAATACAGACAATCCAGACCTTTTTATTTTGGTGTGGAGTTTGAGGGGAATGTAAAGAAAGATAAAGGATTCCTTCTTGAGTCCCTTAAACAGATGACCTTAAAATGAACGATGGGGAACTTCTTGACAGTCTAGATTAATCTCGGTTTTCTAATCAATAGTTTAATAGGCTTTTTTGTTTTGTTTTAGGGGAAGACATAATGGGCTAATCCCGGAGTCTTTCCCAGTTTTGAAAGTCCCATGCTAAATGCGGTCCAAATACATCTACACAGGGTTTGCTTTCCTTCTGACAACATCCTCCTTCCTGTCTGTGGCTGCTTTTCCAAGCATAGCAAGCACTTTAATTCAACTGAGGGCTGACAAACTGACCTTACTCCTCAATGAAGCTTGCTCTTTTTAGCCCACGGCCAGGAGAACAGAGGCTGTCACTTGGCCAGATGGAATCTTAGGTAGAGCAATTTCCTCTTCCAGTCCAAGCCTGAATATCCAGTGGAATCTTGTAGAATAAAGCCAGGCTAAGGTGTTGTTCTCAAACATGTTTATTTGTAACAGTTTTACATGGTGTGTTACAGAAATTAATGGAAAATTTCTAAAAATTTTGCTGTTCTGTTGAATGCATTGTACATAAAGTTAAAAATAATGTGTCCATATATGTTAACAAACTGTCATCTGAGGTAAAGTTAAAGTAGGTCTAGAAATGTACTGCAACAGTCATTTTCTCTTTCTCATCTTTATTAAAAAAATATGTGTCAGAACGCAGAAATTGAAATGAACCAAACCCACAGAGTAAACATTTGTTTAAAAGAAGGTGCCCGGTACATTACATAATGGGGTTTCAGGAGACACTGGGATGAGTACAAGCTATCAAAAACGTCTTGCGGCATGTAAAGATTGAAGAGCTATGGAGAATGGGGACAGAATGACAGGTGGCGTTTCCCTGGTTTCAAAATTTAAAGTGACAAATTTAGTGCTAGTGGAGGATGAGGAATTAACAGTTGTACACATGGATTTTTTATTGATTTAACCAGAACTGTGCAGACTCCCCACGGTCTTTTAGTATTGGCACCTCAGCTCTTGCTTGGAAATTTCACTGTATTCCTGGGACAGGATACGCTGGTTCCGGGCTCACCAAACAGTGCTTGGAAAAACAATCAGAATTCTGCCAATGAGAATAGGGATGGCAGTTTAAAAATCTTGACTTTATTTCCCTCGCTTTAATGCATCACTTGGGCATCTTCTTTAAGTTCACAGCCAGTTATAGTTTCAGTCATGTTCAATGAAGGAGGACAAGTCCCCCGGACTTTCACCTTCTACTAGAAAAGTAAATCCAGATGGTATACCTGAAACAGCAACATCAGCCAGAGTTCACTTTGAATGTGTCAGAAGCAACCCAAAGAACTGGTATAACGGTGTGATGCTGCAAGACAAATTCAAGACAGCCATATTGAGGGAGAAGATAGCACCACTTGTTTAGAATCAAATCATGGACAACAAAGAAATTGAAGCAATTTCCCACGGGAACTGCCTATCTTATCAGATCCCCAGAAAACACAATTGAACTGGTCATCAAACCTTTCCCATCTTCCCCTTCATGTGAAAGGGTTACCTAATCATAAAATGTTTGCTCATTCCTCGAGAAACCCCGCGGACCAACAGGTGATAGCTACAGAGGGAGGTAAACAGCCCTTCTCACTTTTCTGGTTCTTCGGACCTTCCACATTAGGATGACATTTACATATATTCTTGAACAGACATTTGGTCAGTTTATCTAACTGAAAAAAAAAATTAGACTCCTGTGACCTGATAGTGTAAAATGTGGGCTTTAAATGAGAACCATTACCTTGATGTATCACTTTTCTCTTTGTGAACAATTATGCAATCATTTTCAAATCAATCTTCCAAATCATTTTAGTTTCTATTGATACAAAGAACCAAATACAGGCCTATTCAAATTAATCATATCAATGGAAATTCTACTTTTCAAATCTCAAAACCAAGTAATAATAATTATCCCCAAATCCAATTAATCACATGAATCTTAGAAGTTTTCTTCTTAGTGTTAAAACACTAAATTCAACATACTATAACTGCATAGGAACATCAGGAAAACACATTTGACCTGTATAACAATTCTCTGTAGGGCAAAAATATATAGATTCTTTATGAAAATCATGTGCTAAACATACGAACCGAACACTGCACTTTTTGTCTCATAAGTGTAAAAAAAGGAAGCTTAGCCTCTTCTGTTTCACATACAAACAGTCCAGTGATTTATATGGGGGTAGGTGGGAGTGGGGAGGTGGGAGTGTTTCAGAATCTGAATTCTTCAGAATGTGAATTGTCTTTTTCTTGTGTTGCTTGTAGGGCGGGAACTCTTGTGGAAAGACTAGATGACAGAGTCACGCGCTCCCTTCCCGTTCACTAGCTGCTGATTGGCCAACTGCTCCTGCCAGCTGTCCCTGCACTCCAGCTTCCTACCATATGCTCCAGAATAATATCTGGAAAGTGAGCCCCATCCATCAAGTTTGTCACACCTTGCACTCAATCTGCTACCTTCTCTACAGTGTAATGGCATTATTAAAAAGCATTTTCATTACCATTTATATTTACAAAAAAAAAATGACAATTTTTTTTTCATTAGAACTCCTTAAAGCCATTTCCCTTAAATATTTAAAGAGTTTAATGGTAAGGTTTTTTTTTTTTTTCAAGTTATAAAATAAAAATCCCATTTGAATTTTCTGATGTACAAAAAGAGATAGAGATGAACCATCTGGACCACGGAATCAGTTTGTTATTCTGAATATTTATGCCACCATTGTTCCATTAGAAAGTTGGTTTTTAAGATCCAAAACCACATTACCAGAATTGTACCAGAATTATTTGGCAAATGACTTTTCTTTGAAAATGGCACGTGGAGAAGACACTTGTCTGCATAGCATCACAGCAGCAAGATATCGGAAAAATAAAAAATATTTTATTGTACTTAGAGTTTAGAGCTTCTTAGGAAATCAGATGCATTTTTCATCTTTCTCATCAATGGGATCTGATGTCTTTTCCTACTCACAGGATGAAGGTTCAAACTGAAAGCTGTCTTTCTTCACCAGGATGCAGAATAGCTAAAGGGTTGTTTTGGCAACATTCTTGATCATAATGAATAATCAACCACTTATTTGTCTTGTAATTTCAAGTTAATTCATTTCATTGAGGTGTTTTTTTCTCCCCAGGTAGATTTCTTCACCCATTTCTAAAAAAAAGTCAAAAGCAATACAAAAATTTGTACACATTAATTTTCAAACATGACAAAGAAAGGAAAGGGGAGAAAATGGCAGACCAGGCTCCACGGAGTGACAAAAACACATCATCCTATGTCAAAAGACTTATGGATGATGATATTGTGATCACAGAAGACCCTCATTTTTGCTTAAAGAAGTCAGTTCCAACCCTGTTGTAATCCTCTGATGCCTGTCACTCCAAATTTGGTATCTCTACCGTGGTCAACAGGTAGAGAAATAAAAAGAGAATTAAAGATTTTGCACAGTGGGTTATCTTAAACCCAGCTACGAGAGCTCAAATATTTGTTGGGTAAGCATTTGCTTGATTTGTGATTTAATGTTGGGTGGATCTTTTCATACTTTTTTTGTGTGCTGCCATGGATATCTGCCATTAGTTGCCAAAAACGCTTAGCTCCCTCTTCTGAGCGAGTTCCACTGGGCAATCATGAATTTCTTGTGGGATGAGGTGAAAGAATACAAGAGAGCCTGTCGTGATGCTGATGTCCATGCCAGTCTTGAGCACCTGCCACGAGCTCGCATCGATGTTATTTCTTAGGTCTGTTGATCTGTGCGTAGAGAGGCTCCGGCTCCTGTGGATAAAGGAACAAAGTGAGGCCTGCCCTTTCCACTTGCATGGATTTTCTGAGACAGCTTTGGGAAAGGGGGTTTAAGATTAAACAGAAAAGTGACAGCTCATGATGGATGACCTTAGGTTATTTTTGGAGTATTTGATCAGGGTGCATATTATTTTGGCAACATTTTTCTCATCCAAAATAACTATGCACTCCATTCTGCCTTTCGCTTTCAAGTTGGGACTGATTGCCCTGTTAGGGAAGTAGCATGGTACGGTAGGGAGAGTTAGCAAAGCCGTGTCATGTGGACAAGATGCTTATCCTTTCTGAGTCTTGGTTTCTCCAACCACAAAATAGGAATAATACTGTTTAACCTATGGGGTTGTTGAGGGAATTGCAGATTACATATGTAAAGTATCTAGCACAATGCTTGGTAGTCACAGAGCTTCAGAAAATACTAACAATTACCATGAGTCAAGCGGACATTTTTCCAAGACATTTTCATAAATGTCCACTTGAGAACCCTGAAATTCTATTTCAAATTGTTCTTCTACAAGCAGTGATGCCTGGGTGCACTGTTGAGCAAAGAAACAGCAACTTTGTCTTTCGCTCTTAATTACACGACTCTGGACTTGTTTCCCCTTCAGTCTGAGCCCTCAGCTTTGGCCAATCATTTGCCTGCTCCCAGGGGGCTGTCCTGAAGCACATACAGGGATTTTTCACCAGCATGTAATGCAGCAAACCTGCAATCCACGCCTAGATAGGAAAGTGTTCAGCCCTACTTAAACCATGTTAGACTTCAGCTGATGTTGAGATGGATCATTGTGCACTGGCCAGGCAGATTTGATGGATACTGTTGTTTCAAGCATGCACAGAACCTTCTGTTAAAATTGACCTTTATGCTGTCACTCTTGGAGGTTTGTGCCAGAATTAAATGGGTACAATAAAATCCTAATTTTGCCATATTTTATATATTAGCTTGTCTCTTGCCATGTCATATAGGTTCTTATTATTTGTTTATTATCTTGAAACTTCAAAATGAATTGTCATTCTGTGAGCCCCTACCATGTGTCTGGTGCCATGTTAGGTATTTTCAAGTACATTGTTTTTTTATCTCATCATAGCAGCCTTGTAAGGCGGATGCTTTATCTCTTTTGCAAAGGTGAAATTAAGTACAGTGATGTTAAATAATTTGCCCATGGTCACACAGCTAGTATGTCTGGAAACATGAGAACTGAAAACAGGGTCCAGGGTCCAGTGCTTTTTCTAGTCTTTTACAAGAGCAACCGTTAAAGAGAGACAGAGAGAAGAGAGAGACAGAGAGAGAGAGAGAGAGAGAGAGAGAGAGAGAGAGAGAGAGAGAGACCAATCCTTCCATCTGTAGGTGCTTCAGAGTTTACAAAGCACCTCATGTCTTATTTATCTGCCTAATAGTCCTGGGGGTAGCTTTTATTTTTTCAATCCTCACTTTGAAGGTAAAAACTGAAGTTCAGAGATGTTGTGTGATCTTAAGGTCATTGTGCTGTCTCTCGAGTGTAGTGTATCATATTGCTTGCTTTCTACTGTAAAGTGGAATGGCCTAGAAGATCAGGTTGTCGTGGCCCATCATTGTACATATGAGGAATCTGAAGTCCTGTGAAGATAGCTTTTGTTTCTTCAGAGTCACAGGGTTACTTACTAACCATGCCAAGAACAGAACCCAGGACTCCTGCCATCAGATCCAGTTTCTGGTTACTCTAGAACTTGTTATGTTTGTGTTCTCCCAGGGAAAAGGAACCTCTTTCCTTGGAGGCACCCTATTCTGCAGCGTAACAGGGTGGCAATTTGTCCCTCCACGTCTTCCACTCACAGATGTTATACTGCCCTTGGAAATGTAAATAAGTATAATCCTTCTCCCAAAAGTCTGATGACAGAAAAGTACGGAAGTCCGTTCTTCCATGTCCTACTCTAGGTTACCACTTGCCAGTTCCTTCTGCCATTTTACAAATATGAACCTAGCACAGTAGGTCCTCACTGAGTCTGTTGAATTACTGAATGACTACTGTATAATGCTATTTCTAGTTTCCTCACAGTTTTGATCCCTTTGTTCTAAATACACTCCAATTTGACTTTATTCTCTCAAAATCAATTGTAGCAAAATCTATAGATTTATTAAACACCAAATCTATTCCTTTCCAGTGTCTTGAACTATTTCAAATACCTCTTGTAAGGCTAAACATGTCACTTTATTCTGTGTTTGTGCTCTAGGAGTGTGGTGGGTGGAGTCAAAAATAGTTAAGCACAACTACTGGGGAAAAACATTTTCTTTTGCCTGTGCTGGGCTTCAAGGACACATCTTAATGTTTCCTGGGTAGACGTTCTCAGCCTGTTCTTCTTTCTGGATGCCCCAAGAAGTCAGGCTGCCTTGATCTCACCCTACAATTTGCTCTATTCTAATTCTGGAAACTAATTTATCCAACTGAAAAGACACCTAAAAACAGAAGAAGACAGCAGGCTCAGACAGGGTAATTAATGCCACACTGCATTAACTTTCTGCAGCTGAGATAAATATTCGCACATCTCCTGCTTGCTGGAATTTAGCTTCAAATACCCATCACAACAGCAGTAACGACTACAGTCAACTCTCAATTATCCCCACTAATGAAGGGGAGCAGTGGTGTGGAAAACCCCAAGCAGCAGATAATCCCAAAGTCTGACACTGTGATGCATTATACGTTTTGGCAATAGCTCTACCTTCCTCGTTACGGAATCTTAGGCTGTCAGAGTTAGAGGGGAGCTAAGGAATCATTTGATTCAGAAATTTCCAACCTGGCCTCTGGCAAGGTCATAATGGGGTCTTTAAGCTGTTTTCAAAATTCCAAAAAGCCTAAATGGAACCACACATGAATGTAACATGCTGTTTTTTTTTTTTTTTTTTTTTTTTTTGCTTGATTGTTTGTTTTCTTTTGGCAGATTTGTCCACATCTCTGCTCTGCTTCAAATCCTTCAGAGGCTCCCCATCACCCAGAGGGCAAGTCAAAGTGCTTTCGCCAGGCACACAAGGCCCATTTGTCTTATAGTCCATTAGAGCTAATAAATACCCCTTCTGGACCATGAATCAAAACTCTACCTTTAGGTCATGTAAATCATGTTAGAAAAATTTCTTTATGACTCTGCCAGGATGATCTTTCTGAAATGGATTTGGCCACGCCAGACTCCTGCCTCAAACAGTCCTCCTGGCTCCTTGTTACTCAAAGGAAAAGGCAAATTCCTCAAGACTGCACGTAACGCTCACCTTCCCAACCAGACTCACCTACTGCCACTCCCTCTTACACCCTACCTTCCAAACCCTACTTCGGGTTCACCTTCACATCCTGGAATTTTCCCATCTCTGAGGCTTTGTTCAGGCACTTCCTTCTGGCTTCAGAGCCTTTTTCCTGAAGTTCATACTTTAAGACCTGGTTAAAATATCAAGGCTTCCTGGACTCTGCATGGGCACATGACCCACTGTGCTCCTGGACACTTCAGAGCCTGTGCAAATCTCTGTCTTCACTCCTATTAAGGCATCTCCTGCATGTTCTACACTGAGCTCCTCTGGGCCTTGCATGTCAGTATCCCAAATTATGAATGAAGATACGAACGAGTCAATGAACATTTCTCTTCTTAAGGGAAGTTGGCAAATACTTGTGAACTTTATTTAACATGATTCTGACGCATTAGTATCATTATTTTTAGATAACAAAGTAGATGGAAACCATATAGTAAAATCTAAAGCAAAATCTACCCTCTAACCTTTATGTAAGTGAAATGCCCTATTTTCTTGAAGGCGCAGTGAAAGACCAGAAGCACCGGAGTCTGAAGTCATGCAGGCCTAGCTTAGCGTCCTCCTGCCAATGCTCTGCTGCAAAGAACACCAGGGACACATCTGTAATTGAACATGTTGGGTTATTCCTCACCGCAGAGGAAGGAACATCTCTGGAAGAGCGTGTTAGAAAGAATGTATCATAAGATTTGGGCTTAAGGTGAGTGACTTTGGGGATGGTCAACCAAGTGGGTTTTTTCTCTGAATTGGTTGCTCTCATCATGCGGGGGTAATTCTATGATTATCATAACAATTCTTATCTGGAAGGTAAGAAGAACCAAGAAAGAATGAAACCCGGATAGAAAAATGTTTGATCAGTTTTCCAATTTTGACAATATTCACGTTTTGCCTGTGTTCAGCCATGATGACGTGGTCTTGATTTTGTCTTGATCTATCGTGGTCACTGAGTGGGCTTGTCTGATACTGATGTTATGTGAAATGTTGATGTTCAACAGGAGAACGCCAGGACCTTGCTGTGGGGGGTGGACCTGCACCTGACTGTCAGAGGCTGCTATTTTCTTTCTTACCATCACCCACTGAAGAGCCCTAGGAGTCTGTAAAGGGTACTTAATGTGGGTACCAGTTTCCTCATCTGTAAAATGAGGCTAGAAATCCCCTCTGTAAAGGAGAAAGCATGCTGATTGTCTAGCACAGAGTCTAAAACATATGAGATACTCCAAAAACATTAGGTCCCTATATCTGGGAATGTGGCCTTATCCTTCCTTTGTAGACAATGGCTTTAGGCCTAATAATCACCTGTGGGTTCCTTTTCAAATGGCCTCTCCTTCACAGCACATAGGTGCAATTGCAGATGGGCTCTCAGTTATTAATATAAGAATAGTGCTGGATCAGCTTGGGGAAATTGTGCAGAATGAATGTGGAGTTAATCCAAACAACCTGGCTACAGGGCCCTGTGGATAACAGAAACTTCCACCATTTGCAGATTACTCTGTATGTCCTTTAACCATGAATTATGTGCTCAACCACAGCAGCCAAGTGGACGCATAGAACTGGCGTAATAATGGTATATCTCTACAGAAACATTTACAGTCTATATATGGCCTTTCCAGCTACACACCAGGACTGTGCCTTCAGTGCTCCTGTCTTCACTCTGCGGCGAAGAAACGTAGGCTCCCTGCACTTGGGTGACTTGTTCAGTTACTCAGCCAGCACACAGCAGAGCTGGGACATTTTTTTTTTTCTTTTTTGGATTTTTATTTGTGGTGAAACATAAACAACATAATCTTTGCCATTTTAACCACATTTAAGTGTACAATTCAGCAGCATTATGTACACTCACAATGTTGTGCAACCATCACCATCATTTCCAAAACTCTCATCACCGCAAATAGAAACTCTGTACCCATTAAGCAATAACTCTCTACTCCCCAAATCCTCGGCCCTAGTCTAAGCTACTTTCCATCTCCATGATTTTACCTAGTCCTATGTTTAAAACAATTTCAGTGAGGTATAATTTACATACAATGAAACGTACCCATTTTAAATGTACAGTTCAATGAATTTGACAAATGTATTTGCCCACGTGAGCTATAGAGCATTTCTTCACCCTCAAAACTTCCCTGTGCCTTCTCAGTCAACTCTCTGTCTCACTGCCAGCCCTGTTATGCTTTTGATCGCTATAGACTAGGTTTGTTTTTTCTAGAATTTCATGTAAACATACTCAGGTCTTTTTAAGACGACTACCCCTCCACCACCACGTGTTCCCTCTCATAGAAGGTTGAAGTTGGAAGGGCGCTCATGCCCACAGCTCCTTTTCTGCATGAAGAAACTGAAGTCACAGACACAAGACGTGCTTTCCCAAAGCCACACAGGGGACAGTGGAGAGCCAGGGAGCAGCCCAGGGTTCAGACTCCCATTTCTGTGCTTGTTTCCTTGCTTCCTTCTCCCAGACCCATTTCTTTGGCGTGAAGTATAGGGGCAAATAGTTTCCTATATCACATTATAGCAAGACACTCTTGGAAGCTACCTAAATTGTGCTGATTACTTTTTGCCCAGTTAATGTTTATTGTATTTGTTTTTGGAAAGACTGACTACATTTGACAAAAGTATGCCAAAAGCAATATGTCTTCCTAGTGGCGTGAAGACACTGCATGCTGACAAGGGTGGCCTCAGAGGTCAATGGTGTGCCATGCAATCTGCTTGCTGAGCGAGCCCACTTATGCCCCATCCTGGAGGCCTAGGATCAGAAAAGCGCCAAGCCAAGCTGGGGATCAGACTAAAAGCTGGAAGGTGAGCCAAAGCTTGAGTCCCCCAGCATTACCCTGCCCAGGCAGCATATTCAGCCCCACGGTCTTTTAGCCCTAACACTTAGGACTAGCTCAGTGGGAGTTTTACATTCCTTGGCTTGACAAATTAAAAAGGTACTGGTAATCACAGTGGAAAAAGGCTAAAATAACTCAAAATTCTATCTGAATCTGTGTGTAGGTTCAGGAAAAATGCATGGATTTGGGGAGCCAGAAAGACCCCAGAAATCCTCCTAACTTCCTATATGAACTTAGGCAAGCATCTCACCTGTCTGGACCTCAGTTCCTTCATTTGCAAAGTGGAGTGCATAACATCTATCTCATGGGATTGTGAGGTATACATGTATATCTCATACTTGTATATGAGTTACAAGTGAGCTCATATAACATGAAGTATCTTAAATGCTGGCAGTCTTTCTTTTTATTATATTAAACAAAAAGAAAAACAAAGCTTTCTGACCACTTTGAGTGTTAGGGGAGAAAAGTCTTCAAAACACATAATGGATTTAATGATAATCCCTTAGGGAATGACACAGCCAAATGCTCTAGCTCCTGGGGTCTTTGGTGCTGAAACCCACTTGGTGAATACAGAGATGCACCACCTGAGTTTCGAGGCAGCTGTGCATGTTCTGATGAACGTTCTATTTCCCTATCAACAATAACAACAATGATGGGCGTCAATGATCTGTTTTGCACATGTACATCATCTTTTACGAGCTTGTTATACAACAGATGATGACGCTGCAGTTGCTGACACCAATTATCTACCATAAGCAGGAAGACCTTTTCTGAGTAAGCTCCGGGTCTCTGGGAGCGGGTTGCATCCAGAGCTGATGGCCTCTGGGGATCCTAATGAAGTCAGCATATTGCAGGGGTTTCTGTCTTCTCTGTTGGATGCGAATAGGGACAGCCTGAGGGAAAGATGCCACTGGAAGATCTTATTTGGGGATTGGTTCCATGCTGTAGCTGGGTGACTTTGGGTAGGTTAGACAGTCCTAAAATGTCAGAGCCGGAAGGACCTGTGGAACTTGTCTTACAGAAAAGGAAACCACCTGCCTCATATCACACGTCTAAATTGAAGTGATACTATTAAAACCCAGGTATCCTGGTTCTGTTTGAGTGTGCTTGATTTATTTAATCTGGGTCTAGATTCAAATCCAGTGCTATTACATGTGAAGCTCAGGATTTTAGCAAGTTGTTAAACTCTCTACCTTGCCTGTAATATTTGTGAAACGGGAATAATAAAAATACCTGAGTGTTCCTGTGAGGATTAAATTAGGTGATGCTAGTACTTTTAAAATATATTTTATTACTAGTAGTAAGTGAAAGGCACCATGATTACCTTCTGCAGTGGTTCTAGAAACAGTGAGCCTGATCTAATTCTGTTAGCCAATTCTGGCAGCTGCCTATATTTGTAAATAAAGTCTTATTAGAACATAGCTACATCCATTCATTTATGCATTGTCTTTTGCTTCTTTCCTGCTACAATGGTAGAGTAGTTGCAGTAGAAACCACATGGCCCACGAGGCACACATATTTATAGAGAGTTTGCCAACCTCTGGTTAGATGATCAGTGTATTCTACTTGCACTCACTACTCCAGTGGCTGAAACCCAGGTGGAAGTTTCCATGTCTAGCCTTGATTTCTCTTTTGACCTTCAGAGGTTGTATCCAGCAGCCTACTGCCATCTCTACTTGGAAGACTCATGGGCACCTTGAGTTCAACTGGTTCCAGAGTAAACTTGCCTTCTTTCTGCTCAAACATGCTACTTTGTGTTCCTTAGCACAGTGACCGTCAGGAACCTGTGTGTTATCCTACCTTTTGTCCTCTTCCTCACCTCCCATGTCTTAACCTTCTGTTGATTTCAGTTTTTAAATATCTCTTGGCACCATGCCTGCCTTTCCATCTTGGCTGACACTGCCCTTAGCCAGACCCTGGTCATCTTCTGCCTGACCCAGTGAAATCGCTTTCCAGCTACAGGACCTCAACAGGGAGTCTCTTCATAAAGGTCTGAGGAAGTGGGACACGGTGCCCTCCAAAAATGTAGGTTGGACTTGTCATTGAGTTCTGTCCATAAAATAGTTCATTTTCTGTTGTTTTGTGGTTCTTTATTTTAAGGATCTGTTGTTTGGTTGTATTTAAAAAGAGAACAGTAATAATAATCCCAAATACGTGTGCTTTACTTTCAAAGCTTATAAAACACTTTCATATTCATATTATTATTTGATTCCTGGACAACTTAGGGAGAGAGCTATTGCAATTATCTGTATGTATCCATATGAAAGAATAAATGCTTGCCTAAGGTTACTGCTTTGTAACTAGAAATCAGACCCAAGGCCCCTAACTGTGTGTTTTGTTTCTTCTTTTCTTTCCTTTTCTTCCCCTCCTTCCCTTCCTCCTCTCTCTCTCTCTCTCTCTCTGTGTGTGTGTGTGTGTGTGTGTGTGTGTGTGTGTGTGTGTGTGTGTGTCTCTTAAGATTCTTCTTCCCAAAGCATCCGAGGTTCAGCTTTCTTTTCCCTTGAAGACTAGAGATCCATCAGGTAATATATGTCTTGCATTTCCACTACGAAGATCAGTATTAAAAAGTGACAGCAACTTATTATTTATGGCAATGTCTATTGTTACTAAGGGAGGCAGACCAAACAATTCCCCATTGTTACAGAAGCTACTCTGACTTGACAGCTGGGAAAGTCTGATAGGCAGTTTATTTACTTAGCCATTTAACCAAATAAATGTTTTCATTTTTCTTTCATCTCCTCAAAAGCTAACATTTCGCCCTTAAAATTGCTCCAGCAACACATCAGTGAAGTATAAATTACCTGCCATTCCCATACCAGCTATTATAATATTATTTTGGTTCTTTTTTGCCCTTTTTGACCCAATCTTTCAAAGACACGTGATTCTCCCAGATGGGAAGGGAGGGGGAAAAAAGTGAAATAATTGAAGATATTTTCCTTTATTGCTAAAACAGAACTGTTGTTTGAGATTGGCCCTGAAGCTTCCACCTGCGGGGATTGAGTCTATGTGTTTCCTCTTACTACGGTGTGATATGGCTTTAGCTTATCAACAGATGTCATCCCTACTTACTCAGAACTGTGTGGGTATTTCTAATAAAAAACAGCTGGTGAAAATGGTTGCAAGGGTGATAAGAGGGACAGGACTCTTGCTTTCCAACTGTATGAAGGCAGAGGGGAAACAATAAAGCCATGGACATAACTATTCCTGCATGGTCTCCCTTCTCCAAATGTCTGGAAAGGCACTAAGAAATTGCAATCAGTATATTTTCAGCTGGGTGGATGGGGAAATGGAACGGAGATGGAAAGATCAAATGTGGCTTGTACTGCTGTCAATGGGGGGACCTAGAAAGGTTCCCCCCGATATCCCCCATGGGTGTCATAGTGGCTATGTCTGCAAAGCTGGCATACGCCCCTTGGCACCTGAATCTCTGTAACTGTGAAGTGGCCAGGCTAAGCTTTCAAAGGGAGAAAATTACTTCACTGAAGATTACAGTCCAGCCCTCCTCTGGAGCTGGGAGGCACTTATTTTGATTTGCATGCGATTCTAAGACAGCTTCTTTTTTGGCAATGAGTGGTGTGAGGCCCAGACGGAGCCATTTTGATTATGGGGTGGGGCAAGCCAGAGAAGAAAGCAGCAGGCTTTTTTTCTTTCTTTTTTACCTTCCAAAGCTGTTGTGACACATATTGAAAAATAATCATCTGAGGACAAAGTAAAAAGCAAAACCTCCCAACCAATGACCTTATACATAAAGGCTAAATGTAGAAAATCCAAGATAGGGGAGCCAGCATTAACTGGATATGTGTGATGATGATGGTGATGGTGATGGTGATGGCATCTAGCATCTATTGAGTGCTTTCTATGTGCTATACAGCGTGGTAAGAGCTTCACATACATCACTTTATTTTGTTCACACAATAACTCTATGAGGTGGACACTATTTTTATCCTTATTTTTCAAATGAAGAAAATAACATAGAGAATCACTATGAAATCTCAGCAGTGTCACATAGCCAGGAAATGGTGGAGCCAGATGCTGAACTTAATGTTGTTTTAGAATCTAGATTTTTTTTTTTTTTTTTTTTGAGACAGAGTTTCGCTCTTGTTACCCAGGCTGGAGTGCAATGGCGCGATCTCGGCTCACCACAACCTCCACCTCCCGGGTTCAGGCAATTCTCCTGCCCCAGCCTCCTGAGTCGCTGGGATTACAGGCATGCGCCACCATGCCCAGCTAATTTTTTGTATTTTTAGTAGAGATGGGGTTTCACCATGTTGACCAGGATGGTCTCGATCTCTTGACCTCGTGATCCACCCGCCTCGGCCTCCCACAGTGCTGGGATTACAGGCTTGAGCCACCGTGCCCGGCCAGAATCTAGATTTTTTTTAAGCTGAGTTTTAAGCTGAGTACTCAGCGTCTGTCTCTGTGCTAGATACTCAACATAAACTATCTCAGTTACCATTGTGAAGAACATAAGCTCCTTTAGCAGATGAAGAAACCAAGACTCAAAAGAAACTTTGGCTCTTGCCTAAGATTGCCCACTATTAAGTAGCTGAGTTAGGATTTAAACTCAAGTCCAAATCCTGAGTTCTTCCCCCACCACTATGCTATGTTCATTTATAGCTCAGCTATAGATGGTGCTGGACAGAGCATTAAATGTGGAATAGACCAAACACTGGGTGCTGGACAGAGCATTAAATGTGGCACAGACCGAAACCCCATGAAACAGTTTGGCTTGTAGGATTGTCTCAAGCTGAACAGGTTCATAAAGATGAGGGTTTGATACATTGATCTGCAAATGGTGTAAGTCATCTTTGTTTTCTAGAAGAACTTCAATTTTAGGATGATGTTTGCTGTTATCCTGATGAATGGCTCTTGTCACCTCTAGTTCATTCATCAAATTTTTCAAGGCAAGGTTGAGAACATGAAATACAACTGAGGCATGGGGTAAAAATCCTCATGGGGAATCATCCCAAGGAGTCTGCCTATAGTCCCCAACTTTTCTCTTTCCTGAAGCATCAACTTTGCTTCCAATATACCAACTCCCAAAGTAGCTTTGCAAGACTGGATATTTAAGTGAATCTTAGGTGGTTTTGCATAGCATGATATGTTATTATGTGCTATTGTACTGATATAAAATTTGGCAACCTATACAGTGTGTTAGGTTCTTTAATCATAGTATCTGTTAAAATGCACTTTCAAAGTACTGTATTAGCTTTCAATAACTAATTTATGTGTGGACTAAGACTGATTCTGAGGTAGAATTAGAATCCACTTACGAGTGGTGAAAACTGTTTACCATTTTAATGGTTTTGACTATGCTGTTCAGGGCTTAAAAATGCAGCTCTTTGGGAATGGCCTTGCAGTCCTGTGTGTTTACAGAAAACTATGAAAGAATCTGAAAATTGAACACATTTGTCAAGAAGTGACCTTAGAAATCATGTCTGGGTAACAAGGTGTACTTCTGTCTCCTAAGAAGGTCTGCTTCATCAGCTCCTCTTTCTTTCGATCAAATCAGATGTATTGAAATTCAAGTGCCAAAAGCCACTTCTAGTAAATGTAAGAACACCTCTCTCAAAGTAGCTGCTGATAGAATCTGAAGTGATTTGGTGGCAATCCCCATGCCACAGCACAGGTGCAAACAGCACAGCCTCAGAAGTGAGTACTACACAACTCTGGGCTTTGAATTTCACATCAGAAAGGGTGCAGGGTGCAGGGTCCTTTCTGGCTAGACAAAAAGGGCTGCCTCTGATCTGACATCTCGATCAATCTTATTTCAAGCACTGCTTGCTTTTGCTTCTTAGTCTGATTTCTCTGTGTGTTTGATTGGTGACCTCTTTAGATCTGTAGAGTGTAGGCAAATGCAGTGACATTTTGCTTAGAAGATTAAAGCATATGGACCACGGCTCACTGAGAAATTACCAGGGTGGGAAGAATGTGTCCATCTCAAAATGTTGATACTTTCAGGAACTAAATCCATGTTAAGTAGCATGGACCATGCCTCATTCTATCACCATCACCCACGCAGAATGTATTATTAATAAAATAATATGATCAGTCCCCACTTCTCACCCCTACCCCTATCCCTACCTCCCAGGATATGTCAAAGGTCATGCATCCATGAGAAAAAGCAAAGTAGAACATAGACACTAGGCAAAAGGACATGGTGTAGACACTGGTAATATAGCTCAGGCAGCGAGAGATAGCACAAACATCAGGAATACAGTTCAGGGAAGGAGATGGTGCAAACATCAGCAATACAGCTCAGGCAAGGAGACATGGTGCAAACATTGAGGATGTGACTTCAGAAGTAAAGAACAAGCAAAAGGGAAAGCAGATAGCTTAAGGGTAAAGGAGATAAAAAGGACAGATACCTACCCAGACCTGCGCTATCTAGCTACTGGCCTGTGGACTTATATTATCACCACTGGGCTCCCCACTGGGCTCACCAAATGGATCACTGTTGGATGAGGCCTGTGATCCATCAGGCTAGAACACAAGAAGATAATACTTTTTTTTTCTCTTTTTAACAATTAAAAATATAAGACAACTGGATATACTTTCATGCAGCACAATCAGTTATAGTAAAGGAGGGTGAAACTGCATTTAGAGGATTCTGCACCACAAATGTGGACTTGTAATAACAGTTTAATAAAAAGGCAGTCTTTTTCAGCTGACTCATTTGAACACAAAAGAACCCCTTTAGCAACCCCATGAGAGCTTATGAGATTGAGCCAGCATTCTTTTCTAGGTAGACTTCCTCATGCATTACCCATTTCAGTTACAGAGGTTTTAATTTTAAGGAAAAAACACAAACAAATAGCAAACTGGTCACTTACAGCTTCTTGCTCTTCGCTTTTGCTGGGACTTTCGAAGCCCTCTTCGAAGATGTCATCTGTGGTAGGATCACTGGCATGGGATGCAGATGATTTGGATGGAGAGCTCTGTCTAGGGGCTGGGGTTGGAGCTACACACAGACCACAGAAATAGAGGAAATATCTGAAATGCCTGGCTGCAATCAATTTATCCCAAAGAAAACTCAGGAATCTGCTTAGATTGAAGTCAAATCTTAGGATTCCTCTTCCTATCCTAGGTTGAATCAGCTGAATATTTGAATTCTTCCTCTGTACATATTGACCTTTCCTCTCACACATCTGATTTTAGGAAGGAGCTTGTCCACACTGATAAGTAAAGCAGTGGTTCTCAAAGGATGGTCCTTGGACCAGCAGCAGCAGTAGCATCTGGGGATTTGTTAGAAGTGAAAGTCTCTGACCTTACCCCAGATCTACTGAATCAGAGACTCTGTGTTTAAACAACCCCCTACAGGTTATTCTGATGCACTATCAAGCTGAGAACTACTGGGCTATTTTTGCTTTCCTCTTTCTGTGTTTCATCAGAGGGCACATTACTGAGTGCCTTCCATGTGTCAAACACTTAGAAATTGTACAGACAATATCTCTAATCCTCATAAAACCTCTTTGAGGTACAGGTTACCCTAATTTGAGAGATAAGGAAAGTGAAGTTTGCTAATTTGCTCATGGTAACTGGTGGAACCAGGTTCTGAATCCCGGTACATAGTAGGTATTCAATAAACACATGTTGAATAAAGAGTAAGTATCTCAGTGATCTGGGAAAATGGATGTAGCTGATGGCAGCTTCACAGCTGGTACTTGCTTATATAAAGATAAAGGATATGCATTTGCTGGGCTGACCCACCCACATCTCCTCTCATTTGTTTCAGAGGTTTAGAACAAATATGTCATTTGATACCACTCTTCTTTTAATGATTTCTAATTTGTCATTGAAAATACCAGCCACTGGCTAAGACCCAAGTGAGGGGGTGTCATGGTTTGATTTAGTAGCTGAATTTTCCTAATGTTATACAGCTTAGAAATCAGACAGTGAATGATGATTGTAAAACTTAGTGCATACTTTTTACTCTGTGAATCTATATTTAGAAAAATAATGCTATTTTCCCATTTATTATTCATAATGTGCCAATGAGTTGGACACTCTGCTAGGCACTTCCCATCCATTATACACTCGTAATACAAATACCTGCAAGTTGTTATTTATAGTTTTTTTTTTTTTTTTCCCAGATGAAGAAACTGTAGCTCAGAGAGGTGAGGTGACTTGCTAAGAGTTAACACGGCTATGAAACAGCAGCACTGGCATTGACTAGAGATCTGTCTGACACTACCCAGTCCAGCTGTGCTTTTCTGTTTCTATTGAGGTTCACTTTGGATCCAACCAATCTTCTACCCAAACCATTCTTAAGGAGCTACTGATGGGTCAGAGGATATAAAGACTGGTTTTACTAATTTTATTGAAAATAAAACAGTAAGTTTTTGAAAAATTTTGCAATGAAATCTGTTTTGTTTCAGGAAAGGACTATGGAACAAACTATATTGAAAGTGGGTTTAAAGCTATATGCAAACACCTTAATGGGTAGTAGATATTTAATAAATATGAGCTTAATTAGATCCTGAATTGTATTTGAAGTAGTTTATTGCTTACTAAAGGTTGAAAACACAGGCTGAGCTGCCAGTTCTGGCAGGTATACTGTTCAGACTTACCCAAAGAAATCAATGGGAAGCATAAAAAGGAGTTTATTTATGCAAGTGTCTTAACCTTTAGAAGGTTTTATAGGATGCTTCTAATACGCTAAACAGTGGTTCTCAGTGTGGGGTAATTTCATCCCTAGGGGATGAAATTGGCAATGCTTGGAGTCATTTTTGACTCTCAACACTAGAGGAAGGGGATGTATGTTTCCCTAATAGAGTGACTAGAGGCCAGGGTTGCTGCTAAACATCCTACGTTGGGACAGCCCCTGCAACAAAGAATTATCTAGCCCAACATGTCAATAGTCCTGAGGTTGCCAGGACCGCTCTAAAGTACAACAGCAGCTAAGTGATCTCTGTTTTGTTTATTTCACTCTCTTTATCCTTTCCCACAGGCCTCCCATGTGCCAGACTCTAAGCTAGCTTTACGAGATGTGTAGGAATGATGGAGACAGTTCCTGTCCTCAAAGAACTGAAACTCTACTCTTTCATTTGTAGCTGGCACACAAGTCCATTGAAAGAGAGATGTTTGTTTTTAAAACGATGCTTGCTTATTTATGCAGGGCTGTCATTTCTTTAACATTTCATTTTGTATTCATTATTCCTCATTGAAACCCTGTGAGTCTGCATAAATAGAGATGCCACCACTATGTAGATCATATGGCCTGTGTGCAAGTGGGTTGTTTATGCACAGTGAGGGTATTCGTTTTTAGAACAGCATTCCGAACCTGGCTGAAATGACACAATCTAATTGTATTAACATTAGGGTTTTTTTTTTTTTTCCAGTTCACAGTATTGGCCATGCAGTGATCCGTATCACCTGTGACAGTAATGAAACCACCAAACTCACTGTAGCATGAGCCTTTTCTTTCCTCTTATCAAGTGTCAAGGCACATGCTTGAGTCACCAGAACACCTTCCGGAATTGTGTCATGCTCAAGTGTATCTGGATTATGATTTGGCTGCATGGTTACTGTTTTCCAGATATTTGCAGAAGAAATGTGAGCTGGAGGAGACTCACTGAAAGCTGGAACTAGAAGGATGCACACTGCTCATCCCAGCCAATTCACTTATTTTACTGATGAGAAAACTGAGTCTCAGAGAAGTCACACGCTTGCCCAAAGACACAGCTTGTGGTGGAGGAGTCAACACCAGAACCCTGGTCCAGGACTGCACAAAACCACTTAACATGTGTAATAATGAAGATAAAAGATACTTCAAATTCTGGGAGGTCTATAATGTTGGAGCATATATACCACTGAATCCTTTTAATAACCCATCGCTTACACAGATGGGGAAACCAAGGCTCACGGAAATAAAGTGACTTGTCCCAAGGTACAAAACTGGTCACCCATAAATCTGATCTCCAGGTTCCCAGTTCAGGACTTTCTTCTGCACCATCTTTTTGTTCTCTTTAACTACCAGAAGCTTTAAGCCAAAATGAGACTTCAACTATAAAGGCTATTTAAGACCTTATCGCTGCTGTATCTCCGCCCTAAGTTTTCTCTTGATCTTAATTTTATATTCTAATGTTTAAAACTTGTTCCCAAAATATTTTAAGTTTGCATTCATTTTTATTTCAATAAGCCACACCAAAATCTGTGTGTCATAATCTGGCTATACATAAATAAATCAACGAATGAATGAGCAAACTAACAAAATCTTAAGAGGCAGAGTAACATGGTGGAAAAATACCAAGCTTACATTCAATTCAATACCACTTTGTCTACTGTCTTTGTCTATGAGCCTCACTTTCAGTATCTGTCAAACTTGTCATTAAGCATTATTATGAGTCTAAAAATAAACATAGAACATATGCAGAAGGTTTGTATGTTATCACTGGTACCTAATTTGGTAGCTCTGAGTAGTAGCAGTAGTATTAATATAAACAAAGAAACCTGATTAACGCAAGTGAGATGAGTTCTTTGACCCCAGAAACCCCACCTCTAGACATGAGTTACGGCTCTCATTGGGTTTTGTGTCTTAAGTGAAGGGCACTCACGTGAGTTGGTCGATGGTGTGGTAGAAGTCACAGGGGTCAAATTCAACTGGGAGATGTCAAAGTCATCACAGTCGTCTGTATCCTGTGCCACCCCGACTTTGTTGAAGTAACTGGAGAAGGCCTCTGAGGTACAGGTGAGGGAGGGCTGGTCAGGTTTGCGGGAGGGCACGGGCGGAGGCTGGGCCATCTGGAAATCCTTAAACGTTTCTTTCCCCATTTTCTGCCTGGGCTTGTCGGTCTGTGGACTTGACCTGGTGGAGTCACTCGTGCCTGGGACGGTGGCGAGGGGGGTGAGGGGACCTTGGAACATGGCAGCTGGCAAAGGCATAACAGTTTGTGTGGGCATGAAGGCGGCTGGAGGAAACTGCCCGGCCACAGTTGGCCAGGGCTGCTGAGTGGCAGGAAAGAGACCCGGCTGGCCCCATGCGATGGGCTGAGTCCCCGGCATCACCTGAGTGACTGGTGGCTGGGCACCCATGACCATCTGCTGTTGGACGAGGGGCTGCTGGCCCCAGAAGGACGGGAGGACAGCGCCCATTGCAACATAACCTGGGAGAATGAAAAAGGAGAATCAGATGTCCTGGGAAAGAAGGATGCATGGACTCAGGTGATTGACAGAAATGTATCGTGCACCAACCAGGTGCCAGGCTGTGTGCCTGGAACTGGGGATGCCAAGATGAACAAGACAAAAGTCCTTGCTCTCATGGAGCCTCTATCCTAGAGAAGTGGTCAGGGAAAGTCTCTCTGAGGGATGATCTGTAAGCAAAAGCTAGAATGCTAATAATCGCATTTCTATAGTTGTTAAAGCTTTCCAAAATCTCATAGCCTCAGAAGCTGTGTGTCTCAGGGAAAGAGCAGAAGGATGGAAGGCAGGCCAGCCTGGGTTTTCACCTTGCCTCCCCTTCCTGCCGTACTTAGGACCCTCTTAATTGGGTAAGCTCTCTAAGAGTCTGTCTCTTTGTTGTAAAACCTGGTTATGATACCTTCCTTCTCAGGCCTGAGGCAGTGTGCAAAGTGAGTAAGAATCTGAATGTTGGAGTTTTAGAGACCTAGGCTAAAATTCAAACTGCCACTTCTTATCTATGTAATTTGGGGAGCAGTTCTTATCCTCTCTAACGCTTCAAGACATTTGTAAAATGGATATAAACACCTTTTATCTTATTTGTTGATTTGAAGATTGAGAGTATATATTTAACGTGTGGAGAATTGTACCTGACGCAGGATCAACATTCAGTAAATGTTAGCTACTAGTATGGTTTGGATCACACAGAGCCTAGAAAGTTACTTACTACGTTGCTTGATATACAACAGACATGTAATAAATGGTAGCTAGAGGTATTATGCATGATTTCTGTATTATTATTATTCCAGTTTTAGAGAATAAAAAAATAGGGCCAGATGTGCTGGCTTATGCTTGTAAACCAAACACTTTGGGAGTCCAGATGGAAGGATTGCTTGAGGCTCGGAGTTTAAGACCAGCCTTGGCAACATAGCAAGACTTCGTCTCTACCAAAAATTTTTAAAAAGTAGCCAGGAATGGTGGCACATGCTCATAGTCCCATAGTCCCAGCACTCAGGAGGCTGAGGTGGAAGGATCACTTGAGCCCAAAAGTTTGAGGCGGCACTGAGCTATGATCACACCACTGCTCTCCAGCCTGGTAATAGAGTGAGACACTTGTCTCAAAAAAGGAAAAAAAAAAATGAAGGTTATTGTTCACTCAGGGGCACCTCAGACATCAGTATAGGTTAGACATTGCAAAACTCCACAGCTTGTACTCATATGTATTACCATGATAACTGTTCGCTGCCTTATTCTTTTTAGGTGAGACATCTACATTTTAACAGGAGCACAAGTGACCCTTGTTACAATAATAATAGTAACATAATAGTAACAGCAACAAGCTCCACTTATTAAATGCCTACAACATGCCACATGGGTGTTTTATGTCTTCACAAAATCCTGGCAGGGTAGGTGTTATTATTCCTATTATAGGGATAAGGAAATTGGTGCTCAAGGAAAAGCAACTTGCTTAAGGTCATTCAAGTTGCATGAGGTAGGAGCAGGATCAAACTGAGGTTGTCTGTTCCCTGAAAGCCAGGGTTCCTTCCTTTGTGCCACACACCACCTCACCCAGATGACCAAGACCAATTTCTGATCTTTGCAGTTAATAGACCTTGCCTGCCATTTGATTGTCTTAGCATATTGCACGCCTACAGGAAACTCCCATGTGCTTCCAGGAGTCCCTACCCTTCTCAGGGGGCACAGAAGCCACCTGTACGTGCAGTTGAGCCTGAGAAACAAGTTCCCAGGCTGGGCAGAGGAGAGAACAGAGAAGCCAGCTTTGCCTGGCCTCTCAAAACAAGCCTTTCCTTGGCTGTCAGTAAGAATGTGCAGATGCAGCATAGTGAGACCAGGAAAATAAGAGGAATGGATGCAGAGTATCCTAGCAACTTTCAAAGGGACAATTGGTAGGCATTATGGAATTGATCAGGTCATGAGTCATCTCACTTAGTCTTGTGAACCCAGAGAGATCAAACGCAGGGTGCCTCACTCCATGCTCCAGTCACCTTCAGCTGACAGATACAGGCTAGAGCCAACGTTCAAGGCCTGATCATTTTCTTTGCAAGGTTCCCATTCCTTCTCATGCCATGCTTCCCTAAGAGAAGGCTCCAGAGAGGCACCAAAAGGACACTTAGACTTCTTGCTTATATCTGGTAGTGTTAAATACTTTTGTGTAATGTGACAAGGATGTCAACAAACAAAATGGAGAATATCTTGTAGGACCACTTTGTCCAACTGCACTGAAATAAGAGGGGTGAAGAGGCACTGGAGCTGAAATTTCACAAGTGAAGCTTGCTTAGCTTGCCTCACCCATGGCATAATAATGTAGTGACTTGAATCTACCAACAGATGAAGAATCCTGCAATGCTGTCTTGTTTTCTGATTTACTTTGATAGAGCCCAGTGGTTCTCAATGGGAGTGCTACTGCCCCCTAGGGGTGATTAGGAAATTTGTGGGGTGTGTTTTGGTTGTCCTAAGTGGAGGGGGTGGCAATACTGGGATTTTGGAAGCCCAAGCATTGACAGTAGACATCCTATTATGTGTGAGACCAATGCATACAACGAAGCATTATTCCACATCCCACTTAGGATCATTTGCACCTAGAATTGACTTTGAATTACATGAAAATTCAGTCATCTTTGTACTTGATTTTAATGCATTTAATTTTCCAGGAATTCAACAACTGTGCATACGAGGGAAGACTGTATCTTTTGGTTAGGAACACTGTCAAGAGGTGTTCAGTATTTTGGAAAATGGCAGTCTCCGAGAGAAACCCTTCTCATGATTGTATAGCCACATGACACTTCTGTATCAGCCTGGACTTACAGCTGTGGCTTTCAATAGTGATTCTACTTATAGGTGTATACATCTGACAGTTTGTTATGTCTTCTAGTGTTCTCATGCCTGAGTATTTCCTTATTTAAATACACATATTTTTATTACAAATTATCTTTCTTTTCTTTCTGCCTTATGTTACAGTTAGAGAATTATATTCATTTTGAAAAATTGTGTAGCTAGGCTACATTATCTATGACATTCATTTCAAGTATGAAAGGAGGTATTGCAAACATTTGTAATAAGAAGGGGGTGCTGGGTCTGCAGGTAGAACTACCCATGAATTCAACCACCCAATACCTGATACCCATTTTGGTGAGTGAGTGGATATTTTCACTCCCTCGCCATCAGCCTATTTTTGAATTTGCTTTTATTGCACCCTCCTCGCTGCCAGGAAGGACTGTTTTATATTGCAAATATGGTACTTCATTGTCTTGAGTATAAGACTCAGATGTCTTAGCTTGGCTATGGGCCCTTGGGGGTCAGCCCATTTCACCTCTTCATCACTATCTTCAATTCATAACCTCATTGCATCTTGCCCTGCAGCAGTTGCAAACAAAACCCAACATGCCATCTCTTGTCTCTGCTGGCCCATCTGCCTGGAAAGCCATCACCCTGCTTTGGTGCATGTCTAGCCCTGATTTGCTTTGGGAGACTCTGTTTGCTATCACCTCTGCTGGAAGTCTTCTTGCTCCTGTCAGGTCCTCTGGTCCTTCTCTGGGCTTCCACAATCCCCTGTGCTCACCTCTATCATGACACTTGTCACACTGCATTGAAATTGCCTGGTTATTCTGTCTTCCCTGATGAGACTAGACACCACCTGCTGGCAGGAACACTTTACCCTCTCTTTCCACTCTGCCTAGCATGGTTTGGGACTGGAGAAAGGCCCTACACAAAGCCGAATGAGTCCTAGTCAATATGTTCATTGCATTATTCCTGGTGTATAATTAAACCCACAATCTGTAAGTGCGGTGATTGCTGATGATTCCACTGTCGGTGGCAGGATATTTTCCCCTCCCATCTTTTTTTTTTTTTTTTCTACAAGGAACTAACAGATGGGCTGTGCACACTTTTCTGGAGACAGCTATTAGCATGTCTCTCTGGCTTCATGCCATCTGCTCCAGATCAAAGTACAATATTCAAAAGAAAAAAGGTAGCATAGGGTAATTTGGTATCATGTTTAGAAGCTTGCAGGTTCCACTCACTTTCCTAGGGGGTCCCTGCAGCCTGGCTCTCCTTGGCCTGTGAATTAAGGCTCTCTGGCCACATGGTTTTCTGCATGAGTGAAGGGATACATCAGCAGTAGGACAGTGGTGGCACTGGACACAGGGGGCCACTTGGTGGCTGCCACTGCAGCCACTTAGCAGCTTGTTAACTGTTTACTATTAATGTCCAATAGCGGAGAGAAGAGGTGCCCAGGAGCATCTGTTTATACCATGAAGTTCAGATCAATCATAAATCTCCTTGCTGTGAAGTGAAAGGGAACACCTGCCTTGCTGCCTTACAGTTAGATTTTTTTAAAGTGTTGAAACTTGTAATTTATAGCCAGATGCTGACACCTGGGGATAGCCCCATTATTTGAAAGAAGAAAAAAAGGGAGACTGAAATATAAGAAAAGCACTGAAACCTAAGGAACTCCTCCAACATTAATACAGAACTTGCATGATGTCTCTTATCTACATTATCTCATTTGATGGATTCGTTCATTCAAAAATATCTCTACTAGGTGCCAATCACTGCTTTAGTCTCTGGAGACATAACAAAGAACAAAACGGTTGCCAAAAAAAAAAAAAAATTCTCACCCTGTGGAGCTTACATTCTTGTGAAGGTGATCCTTTCCACAAGCCTCTGGGGTAAGTGTGATTGCTATCTCTTTAATTTGTACAGGAGAAATTGCAACTCCAGGAGGGAAAGACTCAATGCAGCTATACACTGTATGAGTAGCAGATCCAAGGCTCCTGAAGAACCATGTAGCAAATATCTGTTGAGTGCTTACTCATGTAAGCACAGCCAGGAGCTGTTGTACATATTCTACAACTTGCATTTACTCATGCAATCCTTAGAAAAACTCTATGAGGTAGAAGTGTGATTATCCCCATTTTACACGTAAGTTCCCTGAGGCTCAGAAGATATTTGATATGATGCAGCTGGCCATTGGCAGAGCCTGTATTCATACAGTGCCTTCTCCATGCCACCCATTCTCCTTCTGTCTGCCATGAGCAGTCAAGAGGCTGAAGACCTAAACTTTATTACAGTCATTAATTTCCAGGAAAAGGAAAAAGTATAGATAGAACAGGACATATATTCCTCTACTGTAGAAATCAGAATAATCATAATAATACAGCATATTCTACACCAAATATCGATGATGTGCCAGCACTTTTCAGTGTATAGTGATACAGCTTCTGCAGGTGCAGTTAATGTAGTGATCCATTTAATTCTCATGATATTGTTGCAAAGTAAGTATTATTTTACACCCAGTTATAAAGATGAAGAAACTCTGACTCTGACAGGTCAAGTAATTTGCCCAGGAGTCTAAAGCTTAGAAATAAATGGCTGAATCAGGATTCAAACCTGGCCCATCAGATTCAAAAGCCCCAGTGGCCAGACCCTCCGTTGTATATCACATGCTCCAGTTCACTCCCCTGTCTCTTCGTCACTGGCAGGACAATTACTAACAGGGAGACGGGGATTCAATAGCTGCAGAAATTTTTTTGGCCAGTTAAGGGAGGAATAGAGCACACAGTTTAACACCAACTGAAGCCAGTTTTGTTGTCTTAACTAGAGTCAGGAAGCAAAAACACGCTAATTGAAATTAATTTTAGACTTGAGTTCTAAAAGTTGAAGTCTTGGAGGTAATCTATGAAAATTTTAGCAGCCAAAGAAAGGAAACCTAGATATGTGGAAGTGGCTTGCCCAGAGCTTCCAAGTGGCTGGTTAAGCATCAAGACTAAAACCCAGGTCTTCCAAGTCCCTAATCTGGTACAGGTTTGGGAGAGGCCCTGGAGTAGTGCTGTGACCGATGATATGGCTTGGCTGTGTTCCCACCCAAATCTCACCTTGACCTGTAATAATCCCCATGTGTCTCCTCCACGTGGAGATAACTGAATCATGGGGGTGGTTTTCCCTACACTGTTCTCATGCTAGTAAGTCTCATGAGATCTGATGGTTTTATGGAGGGAAGTTCCCCTGCACACAATCCCCCTTGCCTGCCACCATGTAAGACATTTCTTTGCTCTTCCTTTGTCTTCCACCATGATTGTCAGGCATGTGAAACTGTGAGTCCATTAAACCTCTTTCCTTTGTAAATTGCCTAGTCTCAGGTGTGTCTTTATTAGCAGCGTGAGAATGGACTAATACACCCAGGCAGGTCCTCGGGGTGTTTTTAATCAAATGTTAGGGGTGGAAGAGATATAAAATTGCATCTAGTCCCATCTTCTCATTTATAGAGAAGGGAATGGAGACTCGGGGTCCAAGTCATTCCTCTGCCTGGGGTACCCTGGACTCTGATGCCTACTTGAGATTTTCCTGCCCCTACTAATCCTCTCACACTTCACCTAGGCAAGAGCCCCTTGTGACCACAGTGGCTCCACTGACACCTGCCCTCTGCCTGCACTCAAAAGCCCCCATACTCTGTTCTGCATTTTATTTGTCCGTATCACTTCTCATTTTTAAACATATTGTGCAAATTACTTATTTTTATGTTATTTCCTGTTTACCCAGTAGAAGGTAAGCCCTTTGTCTGTCGTGTTGACTCACACATCCTAACCGCCTACAACAGGACCTGGCACATAGAGGGCACCTGGTGAGCATTTTTGAAATAAACATGCCTGCAAATTAGTAAGTTTTGGGCCTAAAGTTCCCATCAGCTGTCCCAGCATACCCTTTATAGATAAGACAATGAGGACAGAGCATGGGCATTCTGAACACAAGACTCAAGCATAGAAGGGTGGTGCATTTCTCCCCAAAACTCTTACTCTTATTTAAAATGGCATGTGCTATTATACTAGTCCCATGGATATTTTATTATCTATTTTAGGTAAGGAAAACTAGTAATCATCACTATCCCCTTTTAAAGATTAGATTGGGAAACTTCATAATTGGATACATTTCTAGGCAACCTGCAGTCTAAACTAAGTTAGATCCAAGGGTTACCAACCTCTATTGCTTCTAAAAGTTCATAATGATCCCTTAGCTCACGAGTAATAACTGTAGCTATTTTAGAACAGGGTATGCATTTTTAATTTACTTTGAATAAAAGCACGGTTTATATTTGGTGGCAAGAATTTGCTTCTAACAGTATGTAATTAAAAGTAATTATAGAAAAAAATGCATGAAGATTTGTATTCTAAAATATTCAAACAACTCTATTTGCCATTTATAAGAATAAAGGCAAGAAAGATAAAGCCACAGCTTTCAAATACGTAAAGAAAACCACAAAACCCTTTAAGGTCCCATGTATGCGAAAAACAGAACTAAACCACCTTTGGTTATTTCCAAGTCCAGTGGCCTGGCCACATGGAATGCCTCACGCCATGAAAACAAGGTAAGATTGTTGGGCTCCATCCATTTGTAAGTCGCCTGCAACACTGCTACTATACATATTTTTACCCTGCTGTAAAGGCTGTAAATACATTTAAAGGCTATTTGAAAAACAGAACACACACTTTCTAACTCACCAAGAGTCTCATCATTCTCCCAACTCACAGTTAGCAGTTTGCTCTTGTCCCATAGGGTGATCCCCACTTTGTCTGGGGACACTCCCCTTCCTTGAGTCAGCACCAAGCAAGGCAGATCCCGTCTGTCCATCAGGTCTCAAGAGGTCTACAGAAAGCTGACTCCGTGTCCTCCCCTGCTTATTGCTTTCTCTCCAGGCTGAGGTGGAAGAGTGGAAATGGACCTGGGCTAATTGCATAGCTGTATGTACACCACAGTCCCAAAAGCTGTACACCTGAGTAACAGAATCTTGAACTCTCTGGGTGAAAGACATCAGTGAATTCCAGGCCAGTAACATCCCAGAGCTCTGGACCCCACCACCGCCTTCCCCTCTAAATGGCAGCTTCTCAATGTCACCTGAAGTGTCACAGGAGAGAATAGCGGTGTTTTGTCATCATTTGGTGGCTGGCTCCGTAATCTCTTTCTCTCTCTTGCTGAGTGAGGCCAAAGGAAGAGAAGCTGGTGGAAGAGAGCTTACCTGAGGGTACAGCAGCAGTGCCGAAAGGTACAGAACCAAACACATCTGCACTCGCTGGAAGGGTCTGAGATGAAGATGGGATAAAGGCATCACCTGGAGTTGCAGGAGTCTGCCAGACAGAGAGAGGCAGAGGACACATGAGACCTGGCTTAGCAGTCATCAAGGCTGGGAGGTAGCAGGTGCAGGAATTATGGGGCAGGGGGAAGGAGGGGTCACAGTTCAAACCACTTACGCAGTTACATACATTTTTTCTATAAAATGGGAAATGATACCTCCAGAGCAACTCTGAGGATTAAGTGAGGTAATGTATTTAAGTTATTTTATATTACTTAAATTTTTAGCATCATGCATAGGCATATAGTATGTGCTTGGCAAATAATGGCCAGTATCCTAATGACTTAGCTTGAGCCCTTACTCCCTGGCGGGTGTTTAAGGCTATCAAATTTTCCATAATATTTGGCATTCACCCTTTAGAGGTGGCCAGTGCAAATTCAAATACACCCACTCAAGACCTACTGTGTGCCCAGCTCAGGGGTTGCAATTTAACACATGGTCAATGAACAGTTGCTGACTAAATCAACAAATAAAATGCAGCAAGTGGAGCACAGGCCCTAACCTTGTATCCTGGTGCCCTCCCCCACCACCTCCCTGGATTTTGCCTGAATCTTCATTTGCAAAAAGAAATAAATATTGTCAAGAAGACAACAAGAAACAGTGCTTGCACCACTGAAAATTCTACAGGGCCCAGTCCATGCCAGAATTCCAAAAAGGTCTGCTGCATGAACTGATGGGCAAGATGGGGGAAACAGAAATGAAAACATCAGTACTCATAATTTTTTATTACGTCCACACCCATTTACAGCAGGCTTTTGCCTACAGAGTATAAATCTGTTTGATGTTGTAATATTCTTTTTTTTCCCCTTGGAATAGGCTGGGGCAAGCAATTAATCCTGAAATCATGGCAATTAGACAAGGCCATTTTTAGACTAGCAGCTTGCGGGACGAATGGCATTGTTCTGAGGATTATTAAATACCCATTTGGACTGCACTTGGGTTCAGGGCCAGAAACACAGCCATGAGCTGCTGTGTTAAGCACTTTGAAACACAGTCAGTGCTGTTCTTTTTTTTCTCCCTTTGTGACCTTGGGTGAGTCACATGTCCTCTCTGGGACTCAGTTTGCTCATCTGTATAACGAAGGGGATAAGGTTAGAAGATCTCTTCAGCCCTTTCTAGCTGCATAGTACTGCAGCGCTGACTCCAAGTTCCCAGGATGAAGTTGTTAGCCCAGGATAAACGGGAACATGAGAATAGTTAGAGCCGTCCAGCTTCTTTGGGGACAGAGGCTGTGGTAGCCTCCCTCAAGGTGGCCTTGGACACCAGGTGTTGGCAGCAGGGCAGCTGTGCCTAGATTCCCTGGTGGTAGCAGCAGGCAGCAGTGTCTTGTGCCATCTGTCCTCAGTGGTGAGGTTACAGCCTCTTCTCTGTGAGGCGCATCATGCCAATGAACCATAGCACCATCCCTTGGTTTGCACAACTGCGCAGTGCCCAGAGGAGCTGTCCCCTCCCAGCAGCTTCAGCTGGTGCAGCTGCGGCTGACTGCTCTCTGCCCTCCTCTGGGAATGGGCAGGGGAGGGGCTGGAGGGGCCATCTCTGCTCTTTTCTTTGCAGTGGCTGCAGGGTTGCTTTTGAATGCATCCAGCACTGGGATTCTATTTTGATTTGGTTTTAATTAATTCTGTTTTCTTCTTTTCATTTTCAAATTAGGGCTCCATGCGATCTCTGTCCTTTTGCAAGCATTGACTGAGATACCCTGGCTGAAGTTGTGCCTGGGAGCCCAGAGCTTCTTGAGAAGCTCAGTGAGGCCCAGGTCATGCTCTGCAAAGCTGAAGGGCAGGCTGGAATGAGGGAAGAAACAAAAAGGAGGGAGAGAGGAAAGAAAGAGGGAAAGGAGAAAGGATGGGCAGAACCACGTGTGGGGAGAAGGTCCTTCCTTTACTGGGCTGACCACTGACACTGGTCTGGGTTTGGGGCAGGTGCTGATAAATGCCTCATCATATGTATTGTCCCGAGTTTCCTGCCTGCATTCCCTACATCTCCTTTGGGCCTCTCTTCTCAGACCCCAGCAGAATAGCAAGTACCCAGGCAAATCCTGTCATTGCTGAATGCATGATCTTGTTTATTTCTCAAAACAGAGGCATATCTCATACTTCCCCTTTTTAAATAGCCACACAAATTAAGTGTTAGAATGACTAGTTTGCCCAAGTCACACAGCTTGAAAGAGTCAACACTGAAATCCACCAGTAGGCCTCTTTCACTCAAAGCCCAAACTCTGGCCACTGAGAGGACATGAAAACAAAGGGAAGGGGTGTAGGGTTCAGAAAGCAATGCATACTTACGGGGGGAGAGGTTATATCAGGGGGTGTGGACATGTCCCCAAAAAGTTCTAATTGGGTCACAGCCTGTAAAGACAAAAAGGTAATCATGTAACTACAAAGAAAGCTGGTGCTGATGGGCCCTGCACATAGTGTTTTATAAGGCTAAACATTTCTGGTTTTCATCATTTCTAGATAAACCATAATCCTGGTGGGTCATTACTATACCGCATGATCCCAAAGGCAACATCTTGAATACAGCCAGAATCAATTCTTGCTTCCTTGCATCTGGCTATTTATCCAGGCTTGGCTAAGACTGCCCATTAATCACCTCCCATAAGCAGTAATGACATCACTTCACACTTATTTACCATCAAATGCCAGCAATGGCTCTCTTTCCTAGGAGACAATGCGGGGAGGCAATCCCATCACTGCATTTTCTCTCATGAGTATGTTCACACATACAAGATGCCTTCCATGTGTAAATAAGACACGACTTCATGGTCACATCAGTAAGGGCTCCCAATAGCATTCACAGCATTCGCCCTGAGAGGTAGGAATCATCATCCCCATTTTTACAAATAGATAAACTAAGTCTCAGAGACATGACATCGAGGTCACACAGGCCAGGATTTAAATTTTCTGAATACAGAGAATGCAATCAAATGGCATTCTCTGAAAGAGTCCATCTGTAGATAAAATATGTGGGTGGAGGAAAAGAAAACATTTCATTTAATACTAGGAAGGGCGTCAAAACCAGCCTGGTGTATACACCATTAATCACTCCTAGGAACTCCATCACTGCAGACACTGCATCATCTAACTCGCCATCCATCATGTGGGAGTGTCTGAACAAGGCCAGCCAGAGCAGCTAAAGAAACCCTTTAAGATACACTTAGAAATTAATCTGCATACACTGCCAGATTCACAGACTGTAGGGAGTCTATGGCCTGACTTAATTATGACAAGCGTGTAATCACATGCTTTGTACAAACCTATCCACTGAGGAAAAACCACTTTTTCCTCATCTTCAGATCTTAAGCGATAGCTTCAAACTGGGAGAACCTAAATACACCACTTAGTAGAAGAAATGGGGAGAGTCCTACTGCCCTGCCACACGGGGCTCCTGCACTCAAACTGCTCTAACCAGGTCATTGCTGGATCTCTAGGGTTCATCCACAGAAGGGAATGTTTTTTCCTACTGGCAAGTGAGTGAGCTTTGGGCTCTGGGAAAGTTCCCACACTCCATGCCTGGGAGAGTAGAGTACTGATAAGATAAAGCACTTGAGAAAGGGGCCCCAGGTTGGGGAGGGTCCCAGATGGGGAATAACAATGAATAATTGTTCTGAGGGGTGGTTAATCACAAACCACCCAACGGCACAACAACCTCATTTGCAGGAAGCCCCCTCCAGCACAATCCTATAAAACTTCTCTCCAGTCCCTGTCTCTTTGCAGACAGCCCCTTCTCTGCTGTGCTGCCCACGGCAATCTTGCAATGTATTTTCATACTTTCTCTAATAAATCTACCTTTATCTACACATGTCTTCGTAAATCCCTTTACTGCCTGCACCACTAGCTTCAGATAGTGGCTACCTCCAACAGGGGATATATTTGGATTCTATTACTTCCAATATCTGCAGCCTCTCAGAGCTACAGTTCCTTCACCTGGGCAATGGAGATGATAATACCTCCTTTGCAGATGTATTGACAATATTAATAGAAGAACTTTCTTTGATGTTTGACTGAGCCTGGCTAGAAAAGCACTAAAGTCTGCTTTTTGCTGAAAGGAGAGAAGCTTGGTCTTGTTAACTCACTTTCAGCTCTGTCTTCCCTTTCATCTTTCAGATTGACTAATAGTGCCTGGCACACAGTAGGGCCCTGTAAGGACTAATTTTCTTTCCAACTGCACAATATTTTTTTAAAATAAATGTTCAACAACTGCTAGATGCTGGACACTGTGCAATGTGCTGAGAATATAATGAGAAATGCCAACTGTCAGCCTGCAGGCAGTTTACAGACTGGTAGGGGGGACATCCAATTTGCAGATGCAGATAATCTCAAGTAATACAACAGAAACAGCAACAGGGGTCTCTATGGGGTGCTATGGGAGTACCTAGAAGGAGACTGATCTGGTTTAGCTATGTCCCCACACAAATCTCAACTTGAATTGTGTCCCCCAGAATTCCCATGTGTTGTGGGAAGGACCCAGGGGGAGGTAACTGAATCATGGGGCTGGTGTTTCCCATGCTATTCTCGTGATAGTGAATAAGTCTTAAGAGATCTGATGGATTTATCAGGGGGTTCTTTCTGCTTTTGCTTCTTCCTCATTTTCTCTTGCAGCTGCCACATAAGAAGTGCGTTTTCCCTACGGCCATGATTCTGATGCCTCCCCAACCATGTGGAACTGCAAGTCCAATTAAACCTCTTTTTCTTCCCAGTCTTGGGTATGTCTTTATCAGCAGCATGAAAATGGACTAATACAGTAAAATGGGTACCAGTAGAGTGGGGTATTGCCGAAAAGATACCCGAAAATGTAGAAGCGACTTTGGAACTGGGTAACAGGCAGAGGTTGGAATAGTTTGAAGGGCTCAGAAGACAGAAAAATGTGAGAAAATTTGGAACTCCCTAGAGACTTGTTGAAAATGCTGATAGTACCTGTAATATGAATAATAAAATTCAGGCTGAGGTGGTCTCAGATAGAGATGAGAAGCTTGTTGGGAAACAGAGCAAAGATAACTCTTGTTGTTTTAGCAAACAGACTGGCAGCATTTTGCCCCTGCCCTAGAGATTTGTAGAACTTGGAACTTGAGAGAGATAATTTAGGGTATCTAGCAGAAGAAATTTCTAAGCTGCAAAGCATTCAATAGGTAACTTGAGTGCTGTTAAAGGCATTCAGATTTATAAGGGAAGCAGAGCATAAAAGTTTGGAAAATTTGCAGCCTATGTGATAGAAGAATACAAAACAAAACATTTTCTGGGGAGAAATTCAAGCCAGCTGCAGAAACATGCATAAGTAACAAGAAGCCTAATGTTAATTCCCATGGCCACGGGGAAAATGTCTTTAGGCCATGTCAGAGACTCTCCTCCATGGCAGCCCCTCCCATCATAGGCCTGGAGGCCCAGGAGGAAAAAGTGGTTTAGTGGGTTTGGCCCAGGATCCTTGTGCTATGTACAGCCTAGGAACTTAGTGCCCTGTGTCCCAGCCACTGTAGCTATAGCTGAAAGGGGCCAATGTACAGCTCAGGCTGTAGCTTCAGAGGGGAGAAGCCCCAAGCCTTGGCAGCTTCCATGTGGTGTTGAGCCTGAGAGTGCACAGAAGTCAACAATTGAAGTTTGGGAATGTACACCTAGATTTCAGAAGATATATGATGATGCCTGGATGCCCAGGCAGAAGTTTGCTGCAGGGGCGGGGCCCTTGTGGAGAGCCACTGCTAGGGCAGTATGGAAGGAAAATGTGAGGTCAGATACCCCACACAGAGTCCCTACTTGGACTTTTCTTAGTGGAGCTGTGAGAAGAGGGTCACCATCCTCCAGATCCCAGAATGGTAGATCCACTGACAGCTTGCATCATGAGCCTGGAAAAGCCATAGACATTCAATGCCAGCCCATGAAAGCAGCCAGGAGGGAGGCTGTACCCTGCAAAGCCAAAGGGGCGGAGCTGCCCAAGACCATGGGAACCCATCTCTTGCATCAGCATGACCTGGGTGTTAGACCTGGGGTAAAGGGAGTTTATTTTGGAGCTTTAAAATTTGACTGCCCCACTGATTTTCAAACTTGCATGGGCCCTGTAACCCCTTTGTTTTGGCCAATTTCTCCCATTTGGAATGGCTGTAATTACTCAATACCTGTACCCCCATTGTATCTAGGAAGTAACTAGCTTGCTTTTGATTTTACAGGCTCATAGGCAGAAGAGACTTGCCTTGTCTCAGATGAGACTTTGGACTGTGGACTTTTGGGTTAATGCTGAAATGAGTTAAGACTCTGGGGACTGTTGGGAAGGCATGATTGGTTTTGAAATGTGATAACATGAGATTTGGAGGGGCCAGGGACAGAATGATATGGTTTGGCTGTGTCCCCACCCAAATCTCAATTTGAATTGTATGTCCCAGTATTCCCATGTGTTGTGGGAGAGATCCAGGGGGAGGTAATTGAATCATGGAGGCTGGTCTTTCCCATGCTATTCTAATGATAATGAATAAGTCACACGAGATCTGATGGGTTTATCAGTGGTTTCTGCTTTTGCATCTTCTGCATTTTCTCTCACCACCACTGAGTAAGAAGTGCCATTTTCCTCCCACCATGATTCGGAGACCTCCTCAGACATGTGGATCTGTAAGTCCAATTAAACCTCTTTTTTTTTCCCAGTCTTGGGTATGCTGTTATCAGCAGCATGAAAACAGACTAATACAGAGGCACAACTAGCTTTTGGCAAAGTTTAAGAAGGTTTTCTAAAGGAAATAGCCTGGATCTGAATCCTGAAGGAGAGAAGCCAGGTGACAAAGAAAAGGAGACCATCCAGGCAGAGGAAACTGCTTTTAAAAGGGCAGAGGCCAGGAACAGAGTAGGTAGGTGGGAATGGAAGCAGTTCAGTGTTACCAACATGAAGGTGGGAGAGAGGAGGGCAGTGTGGTAGATAGGGGCAAGGCCGTGGTGGGAATTTCATACATTTCACAGCCTTTTCCAAGATTCTTGGCTATCTTGTTTCTCTTTCATATAATAGCAGCCCAGCAGCTGACGGAATGAGGTGGCCAGCACACAGGTGCTCTCCCAAATGTTGCTGGACTTGAAACGCTCTTCTTTGGTAAGCCTTCTTTGGCATGTTAGCAATATTTTATATTATTTGATGAAGCTATGCTAGTCTTTTAGACCCTCTTCAAAATTCAGAGTAATAACTGTATTTAATCAACTCAAATGAAGCTTCTGGGTTTCCTTGAGACTAGAACTCTATGCTTTTAAAACGGCTCACCACTATTTTCAGTGTTAGGAAAATATTAAAATGAAGTTATTAATTAAGTCACACAATTTACATTTCAAATGCGCTGAACTCATGGCATACTTTTACTAACATCATAAATATAATTTATTGGCTAATTTTCTCCTTAAGCACAACTTTTAAAATAACCTTCATTCTTGAGACAGACATTCCTTTTGCCAGATGATTTTCACTCAAGGATTAAACGAGAAAAACATGCAGCGGTGTAAAACATAGATTGTTATTTCATTCCATTGGTTTGCTGTTTAAATAGAACCTTGAGTTAATTAAATTTTATAGAAAAAGGGGATTCTTGGGCCATAAAATTAAAAATAATACTAATAACCATATGTGATCAGGAACCTAAAATAGTATCTATTTCCACAGGCCTCCTCCCCATGTTAACCCCAGTCCTTTTATTTGTAAGCTAATAAACCATGTTCCATCTGATAATATTGCTCTAATGAATCATTTTAAAGGCCTCAAGAGAGTGAAACTAACAATTCACATTTGCAAAATACTTTATAGTTTGCAATACACTTTCTAATACATTATCATCATGTCTGATACTCACTAAGCCCCATAAAGTCAACAGCGTAGGCATCATTGTCACTGTCTGTGTTGCACAGATGAGCTAGCTGAGGCTGAGGTGAAGTGGCTCACCTCTGATCAGTCAGCTAAAAGTAGCCAGAATGGACTTGACCCAGATGCCCACCAGCATCACTTTATTAAACCTTAGCCTTGCTAAATAGCAGAAGTCCAGCTTTACAACATTCTCTAACCAGAAATCTAGGTTCCTAGGAGTTATGCTATGATGCACATCCATTTGAAGTCATTTGGAATGTCAGCTTGAGATGTCTACTTGCCAGAGAGTAAGGCTCTTTCATTACTGGCATTTCAAATGTCTCCTGGTAAAGAGAGATGTAGCTGGAGATGGGAGTTTTGCTCCTTTTTTTGCCCACAGGGCATTTTCCAGGGGCAAGAAGAGTGCTATTGGAAGGTACACAGGACAGTGAAGGAAAAGTAGCTTCGATGTTTAAGGAAGTAGTCCCCCAGTATTTCCGTCAAGCCTGTTCTCTCCCCGGTCATTCTTTGATATGAACAAGGGATGGATTTTCAGTAAAATCTAGTTCAAGATTAATACACTGGTACTTCCAACTAGTTCACTACAACCGGACACCTACGCCTTTCCTAGAGAGAAATTCTGAAAGCGTCATTAATGGAGGCTGAGATGTCATGGGCTGACACCCAAAACACCTTCTCACAGACCCATTCTCCATGTTTTGGCAAAAGGAATTCTGTGATCTTTCAGTGGGCAGACATGGGAGTCCTTATCATGCATCAGTTACCAAGAGCAAAGGCTACAGAGATAAGTAAGGCACATTCCCATTCCTATTCCTATTGTCATAAGCAGGCTCTTTGGTGGAAAGACAGCTTATGGAAAGACAGACCCAGACACACAATCAATTGAGGAGAGAAGCACAGAGGGTTATGAAAGAAGAGGCCATCTTAGGGTCTTGCACGTGCTCCTCTTCCTATCTAGGACACTCATTCCTTCTCCCACACATCCTTCAGGACACAAATTAGAAGGCTTTCTGTTTTGCTTCCTATAAAGCAACTTCCTAACTCAATTTGTACCTTATCCCATTGCCCATGATACTCCCAGATCAGTGGTTCTCAACCTTGGATGCACATTGAGCTTACCTGGGGAAAAAATACTGAGGCCTGCTTCTCACCCCTAAAGATTCTGAATTAATTGGTTTGAGGTAAAGCCTAGTCACTGGAACTTGGAAAGCTCTCCGAATGATTCTAATTTGCTGACAAGGTTGAAGATTTTTGTCTTAGAGGTTTCCCAGTACTGTATTTAGGAGCGGTAACATTCATTGGCTTGTATATCAATCAATTTAAACAGACATTGGCTGCAACTAATATATTTTATACCAGGATATACCTGAATAGCAGCTTCGTCTGTTTTTTTATTACCAATGGTGTACTTGGGACATCTTGTTCATGTATCTGAATTCCTACTATATCGTGTTATACTACATATATTACACTACACTAGGCTAGGTGAGGCTCTATTGTCATATCGTATCCCAGGTAATGTTGCACTGTTACACTGTGGGCTTCTTTAGGACAGCCCCTTTCCTGCATCTCTAGCATCTATTAGGATGCCTGGGACATGTCAGAGGCTTGAAAAATATTGTTGGATGAAAATAAGGGGTGCTAGCCCTTCTCCAACACACACACTTGTTCACACACGTATGCACGTGTGTGTGCGCGTGTGCACACACACACACACACACACATACACACATGTTCTCATTATTTGACCTCACGGCAGGGCCTATTAACAGTCTTCCTGGGGACATTTGAATAGGCACCTACTAGAGTAGAGCAGAGTAGTGAGTCTGCCATTCATGAAGCTAGATGAAGAGAACATGGAATGCATGAGAATGAGCAGAACAACCTCGTTTAACAAAAACCTCAAAGCCTTACCTTTGTTGCCTCAAAAATCTCATCTAAGTCCATGGGCAGGTTTCTGTTCTGTAACCACAAGGCATAACTGATCAGCATGAAATGAATGATGAGATAATGACGTGAAACAGTTAACCAGAGAATGCTCTAATTCTTACTGGGGTGGCTGCAGCAAACCGTTCTTCAAAATCCTCAAACGAACAGCCGTTCTGAAAGTGGAAGGGATGATGAATGAGGATGCAGTGAATGACACACAAATGACATGGATTTATGAGTTTAATGATGACAGTATCTATGGTTCACACTTCCATGGGCTCAGTAGGCAGGAGCCGTTTCCATGTCTGTGAAAATCTTGGAATATGTTTCTAACATAAGCAGATAATAAAATATGGGTCTGATTAGGAAATACAGAAACGGTAAATTTGTAAGTTTAAATCCATCTTCCTGCAATTATAGACATTGCCCTGTAGTTAACAGACATCAGCAGTGGCTATAGATAAGAGCATGGTGTTTACACTCAAGATTTTTCCTTTAAAAGAACAAAAGGTCAGCTTATGCTTTAGCCAAACTTTGCTCTTTGGAGCGGTCTATGAACAGCTGGTTTTGTATGTGCTTTTATACATGTTGTCTTCCCTGCTTGAAATGCTCTTCCCCTCATCTCTGCAAGTTCGGTGCTCCTCAAATTCCTCAAGCCCAGCGAAAATCCACCTCCTCCATGAAGTGTTCCTTTACCTTTTGAACTGAAATGCTCCTGAGTGACCTCAGTACATTATCTGTGCCTATGATACCATGAGCTCCCTTAAGCAGCTGGTAGAGGGTCTCCCCCTGCAGCTGGTACAGGGTCCGGCTCATAGCAGTGCTCAAAAATACAGAAAATAATGCATACTCCAGAAATAGCTGGCAGTGGTCAAAATTTAATTGCTTTGTTAACTTTGTATTTTATTGTTTATATTACACATTATAGGTATGTATAATATATCATCTACATGTATATATTAATGGCCATGTTCTAGTCTATATGTACAAACTAATTATTCTTTGGATGGCTTCCAAATAGTAAAACATTAATATAAATCTGCTAATATGGACATTAAAATGAAGTTATTACAAATGAATAGTTTTGAGGAGAGCTTTTTGGCCATGAAGGAGTGGGAAAACTATCACCCATAGCCTCATAATATTGCTGTTTGTCAGAATTTGTTTTCATCCTGTCTACAGGAAATGTGACTGTTTACTTCCCTCAGCCCCAGTTACAGAGTGCAGAGCAGAGCAGAGCAGAGTAGAAGAACCAATGTGCCCAGGCCCACCAAGGCAGGGCCTTCAGGTCAACCACCAACCACCTGTTTCCCCAGCCCCTGGCTCAACATGACTTAACTGTGGCTATATTGAGAGGAAAAGCCACCATATCAAATAACCACATATATTATTATTATTATTATTATTATTTAGCCAAAGGTGGGGAGAGGTGGTGAGACAATATTAGTGTAAATGATCCTGTAATCTATGATGTGTCCTAAAAGGTTAAGGTTATGCCACTACATCCTTTATAAATTCACACACTCGTAGCAATTTATGGCAGAGCCCCTACCAACTAGCTCTGGGTCATAACTTTTAATAAAAACATTTTTTAGTGTCCAAAATCTCATTACATCTGTCCAATATAAAAAAGCAAATGGCTTCAGAGCATGATGGATGAATTAAATAAATTTGAAAAACAGTCTGTGGTAGAGGCTCATAAAAATCCCCACCATGTCCCATATAATGAAAATGTGGGAGGATAGCCAGTGTCAGCATGAGCATGTTGTCACCTTCCTGGGACAGGAGAGGTGGCCTTTGGTGAGGTGTGGCTGAGGTGTGATGAGGCAATTTCTGTGAATTCAGGTGAAGCTCGATCTGAGCAGGTAAGCAAATGCATCTTTTTGGAATCACACAGACATCGACCAGATCCTGGCCACATCAGGCCATGGATGTGCTGGCCGTGTAGCTCCAGACAAGTTTATCAGCCTATTTTCTCATCTTTAAAGTGGAGTGGATAATGGCAACATCACGACAGGTTAACTGAGCAGTTTAACTGAGATGTGTGTACAAAGTCTTGTTTGGTGTTTAGCATACAGTAGATGCCCAAGAAATAATAGCTATTATTATCTTCTCCTCCTAGTTTTGGCTCATCACAGTAATGTACATGCACGCCTTTTTTTTTTTTTTTTTTTTTTTAGACAGGGTCTCACTCTGTCACAGGCTGGAGTGCAGCGGTGCAATGTTGGCTCACTGCAACTTTGCCTCCTGGGTTTAAGCGATTCTCCTGCCTCAGCCTCCTGAGTAGCTGGAATTACAGGTGCATACCACCATGCCTGGCTAATTTTTGTATTTTTAGTAGAGATGGGGTCTTGCCAATTTGGCCAGGCTGGTCTTGAACTCCTGACCTCATGTGATCGATCCACCCACCTCAGCCTTCCTCAGCCACCAAGCCCAGACCCAATGCATATAATTTTTAATGTTAGGAAGCTATTATTATATAATATTTGGAAATAGAGTAGAAAGAAATGAAAATCTTTCCAATCCCTTTCTTTAGAAACGACCTCCACCTAAGAGCCCAATACTTCCTAGGCTTTTCATCCTTACTCTTGAACTCTTCAATCCATTCTTGTCTCCATTTTCTCTTTTGCCCTACTCTTGGCTACAGTCTTGCCTGATCATCTTCTTCCCAGCCATGTCATTTTTTACCTTGTGGCTACCTGAATGTTCTGACTCTGGATCAGTCATTTCTCAGAGCTGCTTTCTTACAGCGACCTGTTTGGGACAACCTTTGTAGACACCCAGTGCACTTCCTCCAGCCAGTGGGGAGATCCTTCTAGCTAACAAATACACTTTTTCCCAGGTGATTCTCATGAGCAGAAACTGATGATCTACTCCCTAGTCTTTCCAAATCACTAAATCTTACTTTACTCACAATTAGCACTTGACTTTTAATTCATTTATATTAAAGTCTTTTTTGTTTGTTTGTTTTAGTATGTTTTTTTTAATACTGTCATAGCATGTACACAGTTTGGTATTCTTTTCAAAACTCAACATGACCTCAAATTTACTCGCAACTTAAGCTTCCAGTGAGGAAATGTAAAAGAAGATATTTCCCGTGTTGTTTCAATATGGTTCTGGCTTGAATCTTCACGAAGAGATTGAAATAAAGTTCCCACAGGGAGTTTATCTTCCTATAATCTTTTTTCGGAACAGTGGGAACGCTATGATTCCATTACCGAGTAAGGCAACAAGGAAGACCAGATTCATGTTACTCTTACAGGAGAAATAGCAGTGGATGAGAAGGGATTTGGGATAAAAAAAAAATCTTGCAAAGGCAGAAAACCTTTTTCATGGCTTCCAAATCAGAAACTTGCTGTGGTTCTCAGTCCTGGCTGCACAACATAATCCTTTGGGGCAATTACGGATGCCAGAGCCACTTCATCAGAGATTTGAACTGTACTGGCCTAGAGGGGAGCCCTGGCATCAGTAGGTTTTAAAAGCTCCCCAGGTGATGCTGATGTGCAGCCAGATTTGCAAATCACCATGCTGGGGAATAAACTCTCAGCAGGAATAATTAGCAGAAGGAAAACTGAAGCCGCCTTGATTGATTATGCAATTGATTAATTAATTTCTTCAATGAACATTCACTGGGTGCTTTCCACATGCCATGTTCTGGCTGGGCACTGGCAATACCTAGATGAATAACACCTGGTCCCTGTTTTCATAAGGTCAGAGCAGAGCTATGCTGTATGGTCTCTGTAGCTTGGGGTGAATAGCTGTGGGACAAGGACCACACAAGCCTTCTAGATCTAAACTCAGAGCTCAGACCAAAGCTGAAGAAAAAAAAAAAAAGAATAAAATTCAATTATCCATTTAGAAGGCACAGGAGACATGGATTAACTTAAGTGATTTGTAATTGCACTAAGGTGAGTACTATTAAGGACACCTACTGATTCCAGGCATCTAAATCTAAATGCATGTTACCTTTCCCTGATGAATGATTTAACAAGGAAGACACATGTTAATGAAGACTAATTTCTTCTGGGGTATCTAGAAGTTTATGCTCTTTATCACCTTTACCCAAGAGTAAACAACCACTTTCCCACTTCTTGGCAGAGAGATGGGAAAGCTCTGTTTGGCAACTGAAGAACAAAGGGAAGTGCGTTAGGATGGACAATAGAAACTCGGATGTTAATAAATGATCTCTAGACCAGCTCTGTCCAATAGAACTTTTTGGGATGATGTGAAATTCTATATCCGTGTGGTCCAATACAGCAGTCAGTAGATACCTGCACACTTCAAATATGGCTAGCATGACTGATGAACTAAATTTTAAATTTATTATGTTTTATTTAATAGCCTCATATGGCTAATGGCTACAGTATTGGACAGCATGACTCTTGATAAAATACATTAAAAAATAACCTTCCAATTGACTGGGTGCTTCCTAAATGCTGGACATAGTCCTTCCTTATATGTCTTTTTCTATTCTTTTAAAGAATATCCTATATTTGCATTGACTGGAGAATTTCTATGGGGGAATTGATTTGTTCGCTACGTCTAGACATTACCATGAAATCAAATTCAGCTTGCAAAAACAGCACACTTCTTCTAGTTGTAAGAGGTTTTTTTCATTGCCTGAGCTAAGTGAATGAAAGCCAGGTATTTGTGAGGACTTTTTTTAGAAGAAAGTTAAGATTCATGATTCAAATGGAAATCCATGAAACTTCATTAGAACTGAAACAAAACGAAATCCCATTTAACGCCAAAATGTGCTAAGCCTACTGAGATTTGGAGATTGGTGGTCTTGCTGGACTTAATGCCTTAATAGAGAAATTGGTGCTGCTTTGAGGTTTTGTCTTTGTAATGAGTGAGAAGTTGCCTCTAATTACTCCAATTTGGGTCTCACTTTAGCAGCTAATAGTCCTTTTTTTCCACAGCTTCCAATTCAGGAGTCTCCCAAAGGTTGTCCAGAAGGTTGGAGGATAAAGGAAAATGTTTAAATCTTGCAATAAGTGCTCACACATATAATATATTTCCACAAATCCTTGGATGACAAAATATTCACATCTGGCTTCTTACAAATTACGCTAGTCCTTGAAATGCTCTTTCTTAATACGCAAGGGGAAAGTCATCATGGGGAATGTTGGTGCAAGGATTTTGCTGGAACCTCATTGAGACACTGCAAAAA